TATATATCATGTATCTACGGTCACCTTCTTGTATTACATTTCCCCGTCTCGATGACTAACTCGTTGTTGTCAGAAGGCCCCTGTGACCGCAGGACCATGGCAAGCAGACAGTGCTGATATTGTGGACTGAATGTTTCAGCTGCATGGACTCAAAAGCTCAATAGTTTCTCGTATCGTGTTTTATCAACCGAGGGTCCACATTCTGGCTGAATGAATCACATCTAGCCGTAGGCACTCGCACTGGTATGTGTAGTCAACACCTCCCCCGGCATGGGCGTCACTGAGTAGAATGATGAGACGATTGCTATTTATTTTATTCATCGACATTTGAAAAAAATGTACCAGTTATCACGCACTAGTTTCACATCAAATATGGGGCGGTCGGGTAGCCTAGTGGTTAAAGCGTTCGCTTGTCACGCCGAAGACCCGGGTTCGATTCCCGACATGGGTACATTGTGTGAAGCCCATTTCTGGTGTCCCCCGCCGTGATATTGCTGGAATATTGCTAAAAGCGGCGTAAAATCATACTCACTCACTCACATCAAGTATATTTGTATAACCTGCAGAAAAAATAAGGCTTACCAATGTTTATTGACCTTTCACCACGTCCAGCCCATATCTACGTCTTCTTGTACAGCTAAGACAAAGAAACTGTCATAATATACACAAAGAAAAAAGTTAAGCATAGCCCTAATATATTTCATTATTGTTTGGTCTCAATATTTGTAACAGTCATGAAAGATATAATTTCGGGAAGAATTGTTTTCTCGAGATGATGTAATCAGTCATGCGTGACGAAAGCTCACGTGCCATGCGTGGTATGCCCGCGCAGCATGCTACACTCGAGTATCTCTAAAAGCGTTAAAATTGCTTTCTTAAGCTCGGTTTTAAACAGTTATTCCATGACATTGTGTGACCATGGCACGAAGGCGATTATCAAACGCCACAAGATTGCAAATAATTGGCATGCATAACGCAGGAAGGTCTTGTACTTCCATTAGTCGGAATTTGGGATATCATCACACTGTCGTTGAGTCGAGAAACATGCTCAGACCGGTGATGTCCAGGACCGTCCCAGATCCAGAAGACCTCCCGTGACGACACATCACGAAGACAGGGACCTTCTTCGTCTTATACGCCGAGAACCCTTTTTAACAAGTACTCGTCTGAAACAGCTGTGGTTGCCCAATCGTCGTTTCAGCACTAGAACCGCCAGGAACCGGCTGAAAGCAGCAGGACTGAGGGCTAGACGAGTCATAAAGCGTCCCTTGTTGAGAGATCACCACAAAGCTGCTCGTTTAGCATGGTGTATTGCGCGACAGAACTGGAATCTGAGAACTTGGAGACGGATCCATTGGTCAGATGAAAGTCGCTTTCTGCTCCACGTCACTGATGGAAGAAGAGAGTTTGGAGGCACTGGAACACGGCCCATACCCCCAGGAACATTAAACCGACTGTTGCATACGGCGGGGGCTCGGTAATTGTTTGGGGTGTATCTCTCATGATTGCAGGTTGGATTTGGTCACCATAAGGGGCAACTTAACAGGGGCTCTGTACATCCGGGACGTTTTGAGGCCAGTCGTCGTTCCTCATTTTGACAACCACCCTCTTGCTACTCGACCTCAGTACATGGATGACAATGTCAGACTCATCGTTCGCATGCAGTCATGGATTACATGAGGGCCAATGCAATAACGACCCTACCCTGGCCAGCAATGAGCCCAGATTTGAACCCCCTTGAACATGTTTGGGATATTCTGGGGCGGCGCATACAGGCACGAGATCCTCCTGTACAAGATGTACAGCCATTTGGAAGCAGCATTGCATCAGGAGTTGTTGTTGTTGTTGATCCATCAACATATCCACCGTCTGACTGAAGGCATGACATAGGGTGGAATGCGTCGTCCGGGCACATGACGGTAATAACAGCTACTGATCTATTTCACGCGTCAAGTAGAGACTTTAAGGAAAAATTTCACATGAAACATCAAACGTAACTCGTTTACTTAATCCAGCATATCCATATTTTTTTTAGATATTGTCCGAGTTCAAAAACAGTACCTGTGTTACCATGATGTTTTTGTCAGTAAATGTCAATCACAACTCACCAATATCTTCTTTATTTGTTGTTAAATGTTTCTTCTATCCGATGACATTCGTATTGCCCAGCTCCTGTGGTCAGTCATCCCATGCCATGAATTTTGCCATTTGTCATGATTCAGAAATAGGGGTATGCTTAACTTTTTTCTTTGTGAAAACATTGGATTTTTTTATGTAAGAGGACGCGGTGGATATCTTTGTTTGTTGTTTAACGCCACACTCAGCAATAATCCAGCTATATGACGGCGGTCTGTACAAAATCGAGTCTTGACCAGACAATCCGGAGATTGACATCATGAGAATCGATCTACGCAATTGGGATACGATGTCATGCACCAACCAAGTCAGCGAGCCTGGCCACCCGATACCGTTAGTCACCTCTTAAGACAAGCATGGGTTGCTGAAGACCTATTCTCTACCCGGATCGTCAAGGATCCGGTCTATCCAAGTTTAGTTTACGTTTCGCTGTATTCAGCAGTATATGGACGGCCTGCGTCAGGGACATGTAAACCGGTGCCCGATAGCATGAGCAATGATCCGCTACGTCGACGTGGTCGCCTCGCATGGCCTGCATATAAAGGTCCTTTCTCACCCGGTATTCCCTCGGGGGCGGTTAGCTGTACGTCTGCCATGTTTGTCTGATTTTGTATTAACACGCGAGCCGCTGTAATGTCAGAATGCGGTGTGAAATAACGATGGTAGGAGGGATATTACCTGCGCTTCGTTTGGTTTCACAAAAGCTGGACTTGATGGTTGGTTGGGTTGTTGTTTTACGCCGCACTCAGCAATATTCCAGCTATATGACGGCGGTCTGTAAATAATCGAGTCTGGACTAGACAATCCAGTTATTGACAACATGAGCATCGATCCACGCAATTGGGATCGATGACATGCTTCAACTAAGTCAGCGAGTCTGACCACCCGATCCCGTTAGTCGCCTCTTACGACAAGCATAGTCGCCTTTTACGGCAAGCTTTTACTCACTGAGTGTGTGAGGTGAGTCCATCAGTGCATGTTGTACAGCGAGTGAATGCTGTTTCACACGGCAGTCAGCAACATTCAAGCTTCACCGTGGGGGCTTTAAGTAGTCGAGTCTAGACCAGACAAACCAGTAACCGATAGTATTAGCAACGTTCCTCACTGTTGAGTTATTGCAACCAAATCTCACGTGTACCGGTAGGGTGTTGACAAACTTAGAAACCTAAATGGGGCGGACCGGGATTCGAACCCAACTCCTTCAGCGAACAGGGGCGCCTAAGGCGACTGGTCCCCCTGTGTCGATGAAACCCTGTAACAGTTCTGTAGCTGAATGGAGGGCACGGGTGGCCCAGTCGTCTAAGGCGCCGCGATTCGCTGTGCAGAGTTACGTCCCTTGGATAATATGACTGGAATACTGTTAAAAGCCGCGTTAACCCAAACTCACTCATTCAGTAGCTGAATGGATTCTGTGAGTGAGTGAGGTGAGTCCATCAGTGCATGTTGTACAGCGAGTGAATGCTGTTTCACACGGCAGTCAGCAACATTCAAGCTTCACCGTGGGGGCTTTAAGTAGTCGAGTCTAGACCAGACAAACCAGTAACCGATAGTATTAGCAACGTTCCTCACTGTTGAGTTATTGCAACCAAATCTACCAAGTCAGGTGGGGTCAATTCTGCCCTGGCTCACCCGGGTACATGTTAAACACTTTTCCAGTTGTCAGGTGTGCCAGCTAATGCCATGGCAAAGTACAACATCAGATTTTCAGGCTTTTAGCATAGTGTAAATCTTCAGGTTTGGCAGTCCAAGGATCCTAATCAGGGAGAATTTGGGATTCAACCAACGGGATTCGGAACCCATCTTCCCTAGGCAAGGGAGTTAACTGACTAAAAGTCCAGTTTCCACCCTCGCCGAACTAGGTCTGAAGTTCTCGGATCGATCGTGGCGCACCAGTGGCTATTACGAGTCCCATCTATGTCCCTCCTATTGACCAAGAAGATTCTACCTCTTGCAACACTTGCATTTGCTTCAAACAAAAACTTCAGTCTAGAGATTTTGAATATATCTGTCGAAGCCGAGTTGGCTAGTCACTGAACTCCTTTGCCTCGGGAAGATGTCGGATCATGAGGAACTGCTTATGCTAACAAGGTTTAAGGAGGGAATTTGCTTCAACATGGGCCTGTCTCGACAAGGCTTACGGATGCCAATTGCTGGGTGAATATGAGGAACTGCTTGTACTGACAAGGCTAAAGGATGACAATCGCCGGATGATTATGAGGAACTGCCTGTACTGACAAGGCTAAAGGATGACAATTGTCGGATGATTATGAGGAACTGCCTGTACTGACAAGGCTAAAGGATGACAATTGTCGGATGATTATGAGGAACTGCCTGTACTGACAAGGCTAAAGGATGACAATTGTCGGATGATTATGAGGAACTGCCTGTACTGACAAGGCTTAAGGATGCCAATTTCTGGATGAATATGAGGAACAGCCTGTACTGACAAGGCTTAAGGAGGACAATTGCTGGATGAAAATAAGGAACTGCATGTACTGACAAGGCTTAAGGAGGACAATTTCTGGATGAATATGAGGAACAGCCTGTACTGACAAGGCTAAAGGATGCCAATTGCTGGATAAATATGAGGAACAGCCTGTACTGACGAGGCTTAAGGATGCCAATTGCTGGATAAATATGAGGAACAGCCTGTACTGACAAGGCTTAAGAATGCCAATTGCCGGATAAATATGAGGAACTGCCCGTACCGACAAGGCCAAGGGATGCCAATTGGTGGATGATTATGAGGAACTGTCTGTCCCGACAACCTGTTGACTATTTACTGTACACCGTCAGTTGACAGTGGCATCTGAAAGAGTCCATAAACCAAGTACTGATCCCATTCAATAACTAATCCACCCAAAAACATTCCAGTTGTAATACATATGGTTAGCTTTATAACTAATAACAATGCCAACGCAAGCAAAATACATCAACAGAAGATCACATAAAAGTATAACAGATATTCAACATTGCAGATGTACATCAGTGAGCACTTCAACATTTAACTAAAAGCTTGTCAGGGATTATGTAAAGACTACTGCATGTGTGCATGTGACTGTGTGAAGTGAGTGATTATAGCTTCATGCTGCAACAGCAAAGGGATATATGCAATTCTATTCAATTTCAATTCTGTGAAACAGCTGTTGTTATTAGTCATAATCACATACTCATTATAATGTGACATAGATGTGCAGGACTCATTACCCAGTAATAACTATGAGTGGTTGAAAACTACACCTCTCTCTGGGTGCATGTGTAATAGCTTAACTTAGAACTAACTACCAGGAAATCTCTGACAGCTGAGAGGAAACCCTGTACCTGTATGTGTATCCGTGTCCCAGTCCACTAAATCCTTCCTTACATAGTGTACTCTGATTGTGTTGCTACAGAAACATGCTGCATATCTCTTAATATACTACTCAAAATAAGTTAAGGACCACCATTCAGGATTCTTTCATATGCAGTTACTTCCTCAACTTCTTTTGAGCAGTATAGATGGCCAATCAACCAGTGTTTATGAGAATTGATATAAACATGACTATTGCTCCTTGCAAGCACATACACAAGCACATCCTTACATTAGCTACCACTGACAAGATGACATTAGCTACCACTGACAAGATGACATTGGCTACCACTGACAAGATGACATTAGCTCACACTGATAAGCTTACATTTGCTGCCACTGACAAGATGACATTTTGGATATTAAGAAATGTCAGTAGCATTATTTTATTATATTCGCTGCTTACATCAGCTATATATATAAACTTATGATGTTGGTTTTCTTCTGAGACCAATATCAGTGGCCCATCATATCATGAGAACAGCTCAATAGTTAATTCAACAGAATGCCATGTACATAATTTCCAACAATTAAACGTAAAATTATCCCTGAAATTACATAAGCAATCTGAAAATACCGATAAGAATGTTTCTAAATCCTGATAATACAGTTATCATGAGGAGAGAAAACCACACTTCCTATGGGAAGCTCATCAGTTGGATTGCTTAATGATTGATTGTATAATCTGAAGAAGATCCCTTCAAAACGTCTTCAGGAATATTTTCATCGGTTGAGGAAGAGGTAGTTGCTCCACTTTGTCACAGAAGCGGATGCCACCTAGCGTCTGTCGAAGGCTGCTCCAACACAGAGTCTGCAGTGAAGGGAACGACTGCAGCAACAACCGATGCTCCTCCTCCATCGCCTCCACCAGCTTCCGCCAGTCGCTGTGCGCCACAAACCCTATCACATGCACGTTATACAGGAAGCACCCCAGCTTCCCAACAAGCAGGTCCAGCGCCCACCTCCAGCCATTCGGCTTCTCCAGGCACCATGCCTGTCCTGTGTGAAACGTGTTGAAATAGGACAGCACAAGCATGGTGACCGGCGTTCGACCTTGGTTATCTCGTACACATGGGTCAGCCCCTGCGTCTAATAATGTCTTCACAATTGACCGTTCCAGCTCCCAGCCTGTGTTGAGGGCAAGGTGGAGTGGTGTCTGGCCATCGCTTGTCCGTGAGTCAATGTCTACTCCCTGACGCACAAGGGCAGCGATGGTCTTGTATGTGCGTGCACCCACAGCTGTGTGGATTGGCTCCAAGCCCTTGTTGTTCTTCTTGGTGAAGTCGACCCCTAAATCTGACAGCCATTGTACCAGCTCCTGTGAGGCAATCAAAAGATATTTTTGATTAGTTTTAAGGAGCCAATGTGTACTTATATCTTACATGAGTATGGGGGAAATCCAGATTCAAGTTAAAGTAACAGTTCAAAACACAACTGTGATGCTAAAGCAATAGTACTGAGCTGATGGTATGAGAGACCATCCCTTTGTTTCATCAAAATTCAAGGTTATATTGAACATGTCTAGGCCTAACATGTCTGTGACTTTCGGTTGACTGCAAAGGAATTAAGCACTGGTTAAGGAAGGCTGCTTTGATCACAGTGTGACGTAAACCTATGAAACTGAATGGACAACCATGTCAACAAGTACATTCAGAATATAAAAAAAGAAAAGTTTCATCAAAAAGTGAAGCAAAAATATAGTCTTTTTTCTTGAGGTATTATCATAATCATGGTTACATCAAAAATGGAATGATTAAAAATATGCTTTTGTGAAAAGAGCATCATGAAACAATAGTATGAGCAATGTAATCGCAAAGTGAAAAGCCCCAATAATCACCTCTAGACCACCATGATAACAGCTTGTGCTAATGTTATCTTACTGCCTTTCACAAAACAAAGAACGAAATCAAAGTCTATTGGATAATAATCTGTCATGTGATTGTGAATTAAACAAAGGTTGAGAGCAACAACCTGCTATCACCTGAACCACATGGCCCATGGAAAATGTCATGCTGAAGTGATGTAAATTAAATGTCTTGTTTCAAGACTCAGGTCGCGATACGTACCGATACGTACGGTTGGTGTATCATCACATCCTAAGCAAGGTTAGCATGTGTATTTTCTTGTTATTTAGGGGCGGTCGGGTAGCCTAGTGGTTAAAACATTAGTTCATCACAGGTTTCGATTCCCAGACCTGGGTACAATGCGTGCAGCCCATTTCTGGTGTTCCACACTGTGAAATTGCTGAATATTGCTAAAAGCGGCGTGAAACCATATTCACTCACTCTTTGTTATTTACTGTCCTGTTCCCCAAAACACTTTCTTGACCATGTGATTCATTGTTATTGTTCATATAGCAAATACCTCCGACTAAATCCTTGTCATACATCATTACATATATCTGCCTATCACTGCCTACTCAAGCATGTCATGAGGTCTCTATCAACATCCACCACTGTCTAATGCCCTACTGGGGAGCTGTGTTCCAAATACATGTAGCTGCCTACCTGCCTGTCTGCTAGCCAAATACCACTGATTTGTAAATTTGTAAACTTTTCTGTAAAGCTGGCCCAACTGTCTAGTTGAAAATTCTAGTCAATATTTATTGCTAGTACAGTATTTTCTATGGCATTAGTCAAGGTATCATTTAATGTCAAAATCTGTTGTCATGTTGTTTTCATCTTGTGGTTTATAAGAAACCAGGTTTATACCGTACATTGAGTGAGTGAGTGAGTATGGTTTAACGCCGATTTTAGCAATATTCCAGCAATATTACGGCAGGGGACACCAGAAATGGGCTTCACACATTGTACCCATGTCGGGAATCGAACCCGGGTCTTTGGCGTGGTGAGCGAAGGCTTTAACGGTTAACCACTAGGGAACCCGACCGCCCCTACCCTACACTGATTGTGACTGATATGCATTGTACATGTGGTATTAGGGGTGCGTGTAAAGGTCTAAGAACCATCACAAATGTCAGACAAACTATAGTAACAAGCAACTTATCAGATTCGCTGTTGTTTAGTGTACCAATCTCAAGAATACTTTGACACATATTGCAAATGGCAGCGTCAACAAAGTACGGCTAGTGAAATATGATGAGGGCGTGCAACTTTGGAAACTACGTAATTAATTCACATCCTGGAAATCTACTGCGATGATATAGTTTATTGCCAATGACAAACCTACATCTATTTCTGTACTTCTGCTACTCTGGACCACGTTGAAAGCTGCATTCTCTCCGGTTTGGTCGATGTACTTCACATCTATCAGTCCAACTTCATATAGGTCCTTCAGGATCGACAAGTTGACTCCATTTAGTGCGGAGTAGCAGATGTCCATCACCAAATCTTCGTCCTCTGTCCTAGGGAACTTTTCATGGAAGGCAAGCATTTCCTTAACAAACTTTGGAAAAACTCTTAATACACCAATGTACAGAGTCGTGTAATAGCTTGTGGAGTCTGTGAACATTTTTGGACCAAAATGTTCCAGAAGACGCAGTGGAATAACCTCATCTTTCCCAGAGTTTTGACGCAGAGCTATTCTGAGAATCTGTTGGTGATTCTGTGCTAAGTGTGCGTTATTGAGTTCACACTCCGTGTTGTATAAACGTACCAACAAAATGTCCAGACACTCTTTGTGTTCCATCTGACAACTCCATAGCAAGGCATAGTGCTTACAAAGAAATGTGATGTCACTCTCATAGGTATTGATCAACAGAACCAGTATCTCAAGCTGGTTGTTCTGACAAGCGAGTTCTATAAGGGATCCGTAGTACCTCAAGGCCACTGCACCTGGAATACGGTAGCTTCTCACATTTAAAGGAAGCTCTGTTATATAAGTTGCCCCATGATCTATCAAATACTTCAACATGTCATAATTTCCATTAACAACTGCATAATGAATGGGGGTGATGACTCCATCATCAGTGACAGAGATTTTGTCAAAGTTCACCTGAGCACCAGCTTCAATCAAAATCTCCACGATACTTTGACAGTCTAATTTGACAGCAATAATCAATGGCGTTTGTTTCAAATACATACAATTTACATTTACCCTTCCCGAGTTAAGTAAAACCTTAACAATAGTCTCATTTTCAGCCGATACCGCTGCATGTAAAGGCGGGTGTACGGTCACAGAAGCCAGAGTTGCCTCCCCTGACAGAGATTCATCAGCTTCGCTTGCATGTTGGAGTCCGGTGTCGTCCGTTGACAATTGTGCCCTGCTTCGTGTTTGAACGGAAGCATCACTTTCGCCGACAGCAGGATGGTTTAAATCACACCCAGCATCGATTAAGATGCTGACGATGTCATAATGCCCTTGTTCACACGCTACCGTGACAGGTGTACGCCTGTGTTCGTCCAAGGCATTGATATCATGTCCCGCCCGGATCAACTTCAACACCTCCTCCTTCTCGCCGAAGCTTGAGGCGACGTGGAGTACATGTGAGTCGTCCATGGCAATCAAAACTTACTGTTACAACGGTGTCATAACTGTTTGTTTGTAGACTTGCGTCTTCCCGTTCTACCAGTAAATCGTTCTCCCAAGACAAAAGAGCGCTAAAGGGAGGTCACTCTATATTTCCCTTTTGCCTCAGGCATCTTTTATTATGTTTACTGGTTACTAAGGCTGTCAGTTTTCGATGTGTATTGTTGAATATTGATCGTACTTTGTTGCATTACACAATGTGCAATAGATTATATATCTTGGTCTCGTTGTGCGCGTGTTAAGAAGGTGTCACAGCTAGGAAATGAAAACAGCCCCAAATCCACAAACGCTTCTCGTGCACGTTGCCGTGGGGCTGTTCACACAGCGGTTCTATTTGTTCACGTATTCAGATTCTTCCTGTGTTAGGATAGATGCATCAGTCATACGACAACTGTTGTGGATTTGTGCAATAATTGAAGTATTTATATCTCAGTGAGAGCTGATTGGTAGTAACATTGCCTACAAAAATATATTAGTGCACATTTTGTGTGTGTGTGTATGTCTGTGTGTGTGTGTGTGTGTGTGTGTATCTCAGGTCGTGATGCATTTCAAAGTTTTCCTTTACTTTATACGACTTTATGCTATATCTGATAAATTCAAGTAAAGTGTGTCGACAGGCCTGACCGCAGCGAGTTTTGAGGTGCTTGCATAGCATGGGCGGATACAGCTTTTTTAAAAAGGGAGGGGTGCACAATTAAGATCTATTTATTGTCTTTGGTGGTAATTTATACAGATATGAAGATTTTTTTTCGAAATCACCCCCCACCCCCCCCCCCCCCCCCCCCCCCCCCCCCCCCCAATGCATAGTGTGTCTATGCATCCGTGGTGTTTTGTGAGGAGTTGTAGTGGCTATCGAGAGTAGATTACTTATCCGTCTGGTTGCAGATAAGACGTTGGTTGCACATGCTGTTATAAGAGAACTATTCAAGACGAATTGCATTTCTTAATAACACGTTCTTTTTATGAAGATTTAAGACAAGCGCGTTTTAAATATTGCATGTTATTTAATCTTACCTTTACAAATCTGACTGGTTTAAACAAATCTATGTTTATATTCAAGTAAAAAATGTACAAGTCCAATTAGCAAGCACACTTTATAAAATGTATAAACGTAAACAATACTTTAATCCATGAACATTATGTTAACTATGAATATTACCATCTATAATAATGTTTTGTCCAGGATACGAACAGTTTCCTTCTTTTATGCAAAAGAAACGTAACCCCAAGTTACATTGCATGAAAAGTTGTCATTTTAATATCTGGGAAATTTTTGTCAAAGTTTCTAAAATTTAACATTACCTTGTCCGGAAAAATGAAATTTCATGATAAAAAAACAAAGCAGATGACAATAAAACCGATCTCCAAAACACATCACGGCAACGGCCATGGTAACCCAATGCACGTGAGTTCCGTGCCAATTGAAATGCACATGCGTTCCCCCATTACTTGCTCTATAAAAATTCACAAAGAACGGATAACATTCATTCGTTACTGAATTTAATTGCAGTTCTTTTTTAGGGGGTTGCGTCCCATCTGGGATTCGAACCCACACTCTGAGAGTGAGGCACCAACTCGACAGCATACAAAGTGGATTAGATCGCTGATTTTTTGTGCTGGCGATTTGTGTGTTCGAATCCCGGATGGGACTCAACCCAAAAGAAGTACTGGAATTTGTACTTTACTGAGGAAGTGTTATCCCAAATACAGTAAACTACGGTTACAATGAACTCGAAGGGACCACTAATTTTAGTTCGTAATAACCGTAGTTCGTTAAAAGCATATAAATAGCATTTATACAACAAATGGTCGGGACTAAAAATAAGTTCGTTATATCGGTCAGTTCGCTATAAGTGTGTTCGTTATAACCGTAGTTTACTGTATAACATTTGTTACATTTGACCACTTTCTCAATGGCATTGTGTACTCCAGTAGTGCCAGTCTTGAAATACCTTAATTACAACTTCGACAAAATGGCAGTTCTACCTTCGATATAAAATTACTGTAAAATTATAGTACTGTTTTGGCATGCGTTGCGTTGGGTCTGTTTCTCGTGCTTGTTACGTGTCCGAAGTAAGAGATTTTACGTGAGCTTCAGATTGTGATTGTCACTTTGAGGGTGAAATGAGGTTCAGCGTCGCGTTCAAGATTATACGACGTGTGTGTGTGTCTGTGTGCGTGCGCGTGCGCGTGCGCGCGTGTGTGTGACTGGCTTGACCTTGTCCTGCCACCCCCCCCCCCCCCCCCCCCCCCCCCCACCCACCCCAATTTGCTACTGGATTAAGAGCATCAACTCCAAACTTTATGGTTTATGGCGAATTAGGCAGGGAACCTCTACGCATAACTATCTCAAAACGTGTAATTAAATTCTGGCATAACCTCGCAACACCTATGTGTGATAAGAAACTTTCACAAATGATTTATCACATTGTTGAAAGGAATCATGATGTAAGCAATCCCTGGCTAGAATGGATTAAAACTATATTAAATAACTGTGGACTAAATCATATATTCTATAACCCTTATACTTGTAATACCACATGGCTGGTTGCAAAGGTAGGCCAGATACTACAGGATCAATTCCTACAAGAATGGAGATGCAATATGGCATTGAGCAGTAAAGGCTACTGTTATCAGTATCTGACAGAAAAACCAAAATTTGAAAGATACCTACTAATGACAAAAAATATGTATATTCCAATCTTAAAATTCAGAACATGTAACCATAATCTACCTATTGAAACCGGCCGTTGGAATAATGTAAAGAAAGAGGATCGTGTATGTGAACTGTGCAACTCTCCTTCAGTTGCAGACGAATTTCATTATCTGTTTAGATGCCAGGCTCTGTCAAAACATAGAAGTGTATACTTACCAACTGCTTACCAAAATAATTGGTCTAATTTATATACATTCAAGAGGTTATTATCCTGTCAAAACACGAGGTATCTTAAAAACCTATCGAGATTTATTGATGAAATATTTAAAGCAGTAAGAAAACACAAAACAGAAAAGATATAACATATTCATGCATGACATACTGTCATCTTGTCACATATTAATACTTTGTTTACATGCTTGTACTTTTGTACTCTTTTGTACCACCGACGGTGGTTTGGAGAATAATAAACTGAAACTGAAACTGTAATTAGTTTTGCAGGTATATAGCAGTATATTTTTGACAACCTCGTTTACACGTAATTCAATGTTTTTTAATTCTGTTTTGGTAATAAATCTATCAGAGGATCATAGCATGCTGTTACAGAGCTTCATAGCACACTGTTATCTTGTAAAAATAATCATATGTCCATGCCATCATGTTACGCATATTGTTTAGGATATGTCAGTACCTCGTAAGCATCGATGTCCACAACGTGCCTGTCAAAACGATCTTGTTTACTTTTTCAAGAGTTTTCCATTGACCGTAACTTTTGAAGAATTCATCGTTCCAAGCATAGTTACGCAAATTAACCATCAGATACAGATTAATCATACCTTCGTTCTTCAACAAGCAGGCCACAATCACTTGGCAGCCCGATATTTATCCATATTTGCATGAATTTGTGATCAGGGCAGAGCTACGCGTTTCGCTGACGCCCGCCATTTTAACTTTGTGACAGCTACTTAGGTCGCATTGAAACAATCTCATTAAAATCAGATCTTAGTTCTCGCTGCCGATAAACAAAGATCTGAGGACACCCCATTGCGGGTCACGTCAGACCGACCTTGCGCGAACTTTGACCGACCAATGGAATGACCAATCAGAAGGCAGCTTTCTCGTGCTTTACGGCACAAATTTCAAATTGGCGACTTCGCTTCGAAACATATTTTGACAAAGTTTCGATTACAAATTTGAAACCTGAACACAAAAAAATTCTGGAATGGCTAATAGATGGTCTAGATTGTAAGGATTCAGTCGTTAAACCCTAACTATCGTTCGGAATACCCCATGTTAAAGTCTTCGAGATTGCATGATTAGAAATCACATTCCGACTGTCACTTTCATAATCACGTAAACGACGCACTGATTAGTCGGATGAAAGGTCGTTCTGACGGGACACCTAATGGGATGTCCTCATATCTTTGTTTAGCGGTAGCGAGAACTAAGATCTGATTTTAATGAGATTGGCATTGGAATTACTGATTTTGGCTAAAGCTTAGCATTTTGCATTATAAAGTTTATTTAATATAATGAAATACGTACAGGGGAACCCAGAATCGTATTTGATGATATGCCAAGACGTGTATTAAAGTTGCTGTTGGTTCTGACATCAGGAACTATGTAATCTTCGCTGATGTATTCATGCGCAGTATTTAGCGTCACTTTTTATGAACATGTTTCTCATAAATATGACATCCAGTGCTTCCGTCAAAGCACATCAGTTGCCAATTCGTGTTTTCAAGCGTCTTATGTATGAGATAAATTTCAATTGCCTTCTGACATTTGTAATCCTCCACTTTGAATTGTCCATCGTAATTCCCAGTTGATGTTGTTTGTTGTTTTTACGTCCTCTCGGCAGGCAGCAAGGACGTAGCAGGAGGTAATTGTTTATCTTGTGTTAGAAGGCAATTAGTGAATCAATTAGACGTAATTAATTAATTGGTATAAATACCAAATTACCTCCTGAGATGGTTCGCCTTCCTCTTTATTTCAGTGATTTTACGTTGTCAAAGTAGATCCCTCAAAGGAATAAGGACGTAAAGAGACGTAACTTCTCCTAATTTGATTGGTCAAAAACAGACACGTGACCATTTTCTCACACCTATAAATGAGATCAATACGTGGTACGGATTTACCAATGGAATTGCAAGATTCTTAATAGAGGTATAACAAACAGTAATATTGCTGCGTTTGGCATGAAACCCAATCCAGCTACTACCGCTAAGCACAGGCAATGAGGCATATACTGTAAATCTTGAAATTAACGCGAGCGTGAATTAAATGCGAAAAATGCGAGTGGTCTTTGCTCGCGTTATTAAACATCGCATTTATATCAACAATAAGACATTTTGGATAGCAGAAATACCATCTTAGACATACGCTGAAAACAAACAACTATGTATTCCACATTAATGTTTATTGAGCATCAATTGTATCAAGTATATAAACAATGTCATTCAAACACGAATTATTACATCCTGTGAATTGCTGGGGTCAAGACAAGAGTTCTACTCACTTATGTCATCACTGATCACACCTGCAAGTCCAGACAGACGCCACCCACGCAACACGGTGTCTTTGTTCTTTGCGACTGCGTCAAAGGCAGACACGAGCCAGCGAGCATGTATTGTTTTAGTGGAAGTACTCCACTCAGTGCTAATAAGCGGTGCTATTTGGTGTGTGATTGGATTAATGTAAGGTTGGATTAAGGTGAGGATTCTACTGTAAACCTGACAGAGGACGTTTTCTTTAGATATAACTGATGTTTGAGAGGAGGGGGTGTCGCATTCATATTGAGTCGCATTTTTGGCTAGGGACCAGCGGTCGCATTCTTTTAGAGACGCATTAATTTCATAATTTACAGTTCCTAAGCATCGTTGGTGGCGTGTTGAAAATCAGTGGGTATTACTGGCATCGTATCATCTTCAATGTCATGTCCTGCCTTAAACCAACATAACATAAGAGGGGCGGTTGGGTAGCCTAGTGGTTAAAGCGTTCACTCTTCACGCCGAAGACCCGGGTTGGATTTCCCACATGGATACAATGTGTGAAGCCCATTTCCAGTGTCCCCCGTCGTGATATTGCTGAATTATTGCTAAAAGCGGTGTAAAACCATGTTCACTGACTCACTAAACCTTTTGGCTGCACACAGCCCCAGCAATGAAAGTGAGTGAAGCGGACGTAAAATGACATGTCGTCCGAATGTCATCGGCAACACTGATTGTTCCACTGGACACAGAGAACTAAACTCTGTAGTGAGTGAGTGAGTTGGGTTTAACGCCGCTTTTAACAGTATTCCAGTTATATCGCGGCGTGTCAGCTTAATGTGGGAGGAAAGCCCGAAGTGATGCAGGCCTCAGACGTTTACCACTTCGGTGAAACCCACGAGCACGGGTATGATGCTGACAAACCTAGAAACATAAACGGGGCGAACCGGGATTCGAACCAACAATCATAGGTTTCTGGCGTGCCCAAGGGACGCAACTCTGCACAGCGAATCGCGGCGCCTAAGACGACTGGGCCACCCGTGCCCCACTAAACTCTGTAATGTAAAGAACCCGGTTGTATGAATGACGAACACGACTGTACTGTAACGGATTTTTTATTATTTGATGAGTACAGTGGGTAGTCACTGGGATATCTGATCAGTCGTGTCAGACAATGCACGGAGTATGCCGCTCTACGCTGGATTATACAACTAAACGAGAAAGGCTTGATCTTGATAAATATATACATCTCCAAGCCTGTGTAATAACTAACTCCCGTGACGTTCCAAACATAATACTGACGCAGCGTCCTTAAGAGTAGCGAAAGTCATCACCAAAAGTCTGCAATCAAAGGCGATACACTGGGAATACTCCTGGAAAGGTAATACAGACAGTCACTATAGAAGCATCAGTCGATCCATAGACGGACCGGATGTAAACGGATTATTGCCCCTGGAACAAGGACACACGTGACGGTGAGAACTGTGTTGGTTGCGGGTGGCGCTGACTGTGCTGAAACATGAAACATGAGATATGAAGGGAGGTGTATTTCTAATGAACGGAATTGCAAACGTAAACAATGTTTTACACAATAGTTATCTTCAATAGCTTCAACAAAACAAAGGCATAAACCAGGTTATAGACAATCCTTTTGAAATTTGTAAGAAGACGTCATGAATGTGTCCAGGTTATAGGGAGCTGCTAACACAGTATTTTGTATTTGATTTTAATTATATCTGAGATTACATATTGCATTTTAGGTCCAGGATTTATTAATATTGTACAGAGCTTCGTCTTGACTGTTGACAAACAGACCGTCAGATCCATGTTGATTCTGAGAAATTTCTGGCGTCAGAGTACCTACACTAAATGTTCATGCGCCCCAAGAGCGTACACTCATGTGTCAAGTTATTAAAGACAGTGTCTGTGACCTCCAACAATGTGTGTCAAGCTATTATAGACAGTGTTTGTGACCTCTACGAATGTATCAAGTTATTAAAGACAGTGTCTGTGACCTCTACGCATGTGTCAAGCTATTATAGACAGTGTCTGTGACCTCTACGGATGTGTCAAGTTATTAAAGACAGTGTCTGTGACCTCTACGCATGTGCCAAGCTATTATAGACAGTGTCTGTGACCACTACGAATGTGTCAAGTTATTATAGACAGTGTCTGTGACCTCTACATATGTGTCAAGTTATTATAGACAGTGTCTGTGACCTCTACATATGTGTCAAGTTATTATAGACAGTGGCAGTGACCTCTACGAATGTGTCAAGTTATTATAGACAGTGTCTGTGATCTCCACATGTGTGTCAAGCTATTAAAGACAGTGGCTGTGACCTCCACATATGTGTCAAGTTATTATAGACAGTGTCTGTGACCTCTACATATGTGTCAAGTTATTATAGACAGTGTCTGTGACCTCTACGAATGTGTCAAGCTATTAAAGACAGTGTCTGTGGCCTCCACATATGTGTCAAGTTATTATGTACAGTGTCTGTGACCTCTACGAATGTGTCAAGCTATTAAAGACAGTGTCTATGGCCTCCACATATGTGTCAAGCTATTATAGACAGTGTGTAGTATAAGGTGCATGTAAACCGGTGGAAACACCTCACTATAACATGCCTGTACACCGGAAGGAGATACACCTCGCTACAAGGCGCCTGGTTTTACCGGCAGGTATTTCACGTAGATGTCCCAGTAAATCCAGTGGTAAGCGGTAATTGCCACGTTAACACTAAGACCTTCAGCTAAAGCTTATCTCCTCGAATTCTCCCTACAGTACAGCTGTTGGCACGCCGTGAGTTAATTATATCCCTTTGTAGATTTATGACAGTGTTATCAGTCAGGGTGCTCGACTTGATGAAACCCACAAACATTCAACTCAACGATTGTCCGCGCCATTGTTGTCTGAGTGTCCTTATGTGTGCAATAGTTACCCCCTTCTTGAGGAAAAGCCAAATGAACTCATTCTGTGTGACAAGTAAAGATCATGTCCCCCTTTGTTGGCAATATATGGCGTTATTAAAAGGACAAGAAGAGATCGAATACTGGAATGAAATATGGAGCTCGTTGTTGGAGGAAGGCCGACACTCGTTAATGGCTAGCGTACAAACTGTGACTATCTGTACAACTTGAAAACGAAAACAAATATTTATTAAAAACAAATTCGTACTGTTCTCCACTCTTACCATTTTGCCCAATAAAAAGCTAATCCTTTATATGGTGTTCATTTGGCAAGATGGAAGGTCAATATACGAAGTTCAAAACATGGCATTTGGAAAAAAGACAAAACAATACACGAGCTGTCGCTCGTTTCAATCTTGATGTGAAGTGTTGCATTTTCGGGGCTAATATCTACCCAGACACAAGCCAGAATATGGAGTCCAGGAGAGTCGAGCCACTTGAGGATTATTTCCCACTTCAGTCTGCACTCCAGGATAAACACAAACCTCTCCACTATTAAAACCGGTTGGGTTGTCTCAACAGAAGGGGTATCGGTGCACCCTTTGTAGACAAGCGAAGGGGTGGACACACATACCACAAGGGGTAGCCCGTGCATATGTCATCAAGTGTTGTGGACATTATCAGTATGTCACAAACTGTAGTGGAGAGTGCCCGTATGCCACACACGATAGTGGAGAGTACCCGTATGCCACACACTGTAGTGGAAAGTGCCCGTATGCCACACACTGTAGTGGAGAGTGCCCGTATGCCACACACTGTAGTGGAAAGTACCCGTATGCCACACACTGTAGTAGTGGAGAGCACCCGTATGCCACACACTGTAGTAGAAAGTACCCGTATGCCACACACTGTAGTAGTGGAGAGCACCCGTATGCCACACACTGTAGTAGAAAGTACCCGTATGCCACACACTGTAGTAGTGGAGAGCACCCGTATGCCACATACTGTAGTAGAAAGTACCCGTATGCCACACACTGTAGTAGTGGAGAGCACCCGTATGCCACACACTGTAGTGGAGAGTACCCGTATGCGACACACTGTAGTAGTGGAGAGTACCCGTATGCCGCACACTGTAGTAGAAAGTACCCGTATGCCACATACTGTAGTGGAGAGTGCCCGTATGCCGCACACTGTAGTGGAAAGTACCCGTATGCCACACACTGTAGTGGAAAGTGCCCGTATGCCACACACTGTAGTGGAGAGTACCCGTATGCCACACACTGTAGTGGAGAGTACCTGTATGGCACACACTGTAGTGGAAAGTGCCCGTATGCCACATACTGTAGTGGAGAGTGCCCGTATGCCACACACTGTAGTGGAAAGTACCCGTATGCCACACACTGTAGTGGAGAGTACCCGTATGGCACACACTGTAGTGGAAAGTACCCGTATGCCACACACTGTAGTGGAAAGTGCCCGTATGCCACACACTGTAGTGGAGAGTACCCGTATGCCACACACTGTAGTGGAGAGCGCCCGTATGCCACACACTGTAGTGGAGAGTGCCCGTATGCCACACACTGTAGTGGAGAGCGCCCGTATGCCACACACTGTATTGGAGAGTGCCCGTATGCCACACACTGTAGTGGAGAGCGCCCGTATGCCACACACTGTATTGGAGAGTGCCCGTATGCCACACACTGTAGTGGAGAGTACCCGTATGCGACACACTGTAGTGGAAAGTACCCGTATGCCACACACTGTAGTGGAGAGTACCCGTATGCCACACACTGTAGTGGAGAGCGCCCGTATGCCACACACTGTAGTAGTGGAGAGCACCGTATGCCACACACTGTAGTGGAGAGTGCCCGTATGCCACACACTGTAGTGGAGAGCGCCCGTATGCCACACACTGTATTGGAGAGTGCCCGTATGCCACACACTGTAGTGGAGAGTACCCGTATGCGACACACTGTAGTGGAAAGTACCCGTATGCCACACACTGTAGTGGAGAGTACCCGTATGCCACACACTGTAGTGGAGAGCGCCCGTATGCCACACACTGTAGTGGAGAGTACCGTATGCCACACACTGTAGTGGAAAGTACCCGTATGCCACACACTGTAGTGGAGAGTACTCGTATGACCCTTACAAGATCGTGTTCACGTGTATACCCGGGTAAATTGGCGAATGAAGGCTCAGGAGTCTTTATCACCTCATTATACAGTTATCAGTGAATATACCCTCCAGTCGCTATCGCCTCACTACACAGCTGCATCCTAATATACCCCAAGTCCTACTTCACTATACAGCTGCATCCTAATATACCCACCATTCCAATCACCTCACTATACAGTTGCATCAGAATATCACCCCTCAGCCGCTATCATCTGAGTACACAGTTGCATCCAAATGTACCCCCATGCTAATCCCTCACTATACAGCTGCATCCGAATATACCCCAAGTCCTACCTCACTATACAGTTGCATCCGAATGTACCCCCATGCTAAAACCTCACTATACAGTTGCATCCTAATATACCCCAAGTCCTACCTCACTATACAGTTACATCCGAATATACCCCCGTCGCTATCACCTCACTATACAGTTACATCCGAATACATGTATACCCCAATTCCAATCACCTCACTATACAATTATCTCCGAATATACCCCCTATGCAGTCCCATTCCCTCACTATACAGTAACATCTGAATGTACCCAAAGTCCTGTCACCTTATTATACAGTCCCACCTAACAAAATACCCTCTGGATGTGGTCTTATACTCATAATATTTTTATTACGAGTCGAACAGACAACGTTTCGTCTTACTATTTGACGTCGCCGATAAAGAGTTTCACCTGCACAATGTGGCATGCAGGAGTACTTTGTGCCAGTGCTATATTTCCCTGTTGGTCATACCAGCAAGGCAGGACACTCACTCCGATAGTCGCGATACGATACTTAACCACACCCGTCCCTAGTCAGATGGTTTGTGTATAAACATATCAGTTAACTGGTTGTACACGAAGTGAGAGATGTGAAGGTGCCTGTGTGTCTCTGCCGTGAAGACCGGGGCGTGGCATTTAGAGATGTAGGTTCACAAATGACAAAGACGTTACTCACAAACTATATATACGTCAATTTAATTATTTTCATTATTAAATATGAAACATCCTGGATAAGTATATCCAGGTGTGACATTGTATGGTATAATACCTCCTGATATAGTACACACAGAAATCATACAACAGGTAATGGTTTAATATAGCCTGGTTTAACACAGCCTGATTTACTTAAACCTGGTTTAACACAGTCTGGTGTAATATAACCTGATTTAACACAATCTGGTTAAATATAACGTGGTTTAACACAGCCTGGTTTAATATAACCTCATAAAACACATTTTGGTTTAATATAACCTGGTTTAACACGGTCTGGTTTAATATAATTTGGTTTAAAGCGGTCTGATTTAATATAACCTCGTATAACACAGCTTGGTGTAATATAACATGGTTTAACACGGTCTGGTTTAATATGATTTGGTTTAACACGGTCTGGTTTAATATAACTTTGAATAACACAGCCTGGTTTAATATAACCTGGCTTAACACAGCCTGGTTTAAAATAACCTCGTATAACACAGCCTGGTTTAATATAACCTGGTTTAACACGGTCTTGTTTAATATAATTTGGTTTAACACAGCCTGGTTTAATATAATCTGGTTTACCACAGTTGGTTTAATATAACCTCGAATAAGATAGCCTGGTTTAATATAACCTGGTTTAACACAGCCTGGTTTAATATAATCTGGTTTAACACGGTCTGGTTTAACATAACCAGATTACCACAGTTTGGTATAATATAACCTCGAATAACACAGCCTGGTTTAACACAGTCTGGTTTAATATAATTTGGTTTAACACGGTCTGGTGTAACATAACCTGGTTTACCACACCTTGGTTTAATATAACCTCGTATAACACATCCTGGTTTAATATAAACTGGTTTACCACAGCTCGGTTAAATAATATCCTGGTTTAACACAGCCTGGTTTAATATAATCTGGTTTAACATAACTTGGTTTACCACAGTTTGGTTTAATATAACCAGCGTAACACAGTCTGGATTTATATAGCCCTGTGTGACATAATGATAATACAGTAAACTACAGTTACAACAAACTCACAGGGACCACTAATTTTAATTCGTTATATACGTTGTTCGTTATAAGCATATGTATAGCATAAATACAGCAAATGGACGGAACCAAGAAATTGTTCGTTATATCCGTAAGTTCGTTATACGCGTGTTCGTTATAAACGTAGTTTATATTATGCATATGTTGAAATGATCTACTCAGGAAGTGGTGACAGTCTAACAGCTGGATGTTTCGTGTCTTTTAGGTGAACAATTGACTTGCCTTTGCATGTGTTTGTGACGGGTGTCACCGGTGGGGCAGAATACGCCCACCTTTTCGCGAACACCCGGTATCATTACTATGTGATAGTGATTCATTAACACATGCTCATGATATAGTCGGAATCGTACTATCAAGTCTACTTTAAGCAATTTTTTCTGTACATATAATTGACGCATTATTCCTTGGTAACCGACCTTTTGTCGGTTTTTATTTCACCAAACAGTAACCAAGCTTCAGGCATGTTTGTTGTTTAGTCTTTAAGTGACACGCATGACTAGTCTCTCGGCGACTTTCAACGCCGTCTCGCTTCACTGCCCCGAGGCGATTTCAATAATCAACTATTAATCTCAGCGAATGTATCGCAGTCACCTGAGCTCATATAAACGTGTATACACAACAATGCGTGGACAATGGAACGTTTCACAGGGATTGCAATGCTATAGTTGTGGAGGTAATTCCCTTACAGGATCAGATGAGGTAATGGGCAAGACTGGAGCGGTGTAGCTGATTGTTAGCTGGGACAAACAACAGTCATTTGAAAACTGGTCGCTTTCACCTACAAGCTGTTTACACGTCTTGCGTTACACTGCAGCTGGCTCCACGTGACAATACTGACATGACGTGTCACAACTGATTGTTGGCCATTACAGCCTCAACAACAAAGAATACTTTCTGTCGGGTCTGACACGCATTGTGTGTTGACTGTGGTGCCTGAGTGTTGACTGTGGTGCCTGTGTGTTGACTGTGGTGCCTGTGTGTTGACTGTGGTGCCTGTGTGTTGACTTGGTGCCTGTGTGTTGACTGTGGTACCCGTGTGTTGACTGTGGTGCCTGTGAGTTGATGGCATTAAATCATTCAAGTATACTGTGGCTGAAGGGGTCGTTGTCGGCACAGGTTCTACAGATATGTACCCCAGGTACGTTTCTGTATACAGAAATGTACCCTAGCCAAAATCAGAATACAGAAGGGTATCACTGGATAAGTCAATTCCACCGCAGGCCGAATTGCGCAATACGCTGAACCGGTTTCTTGAACGCTTTCCTATACGACACGTCAGGGGTGCCAAAACGCGGTATAATTCAACATGGCAGTACGCGTTGTATATTTTTGTCTCGGTACTTCCTTATCGTAAATGGATCGGAACTGTCATACTGTTGTGTGAGATGCATTCCAGTCTGATATATATTTAAAAAGGAGCAAACACAGTGACATTACTGTACGCACATTACTGTAATACTCCACGATGCACAGCATTATACTGCATGTGCTCGTCATCAGGCGAACCAGAAATACAAGATGAACCGGTTTCGGTTTCGAGTTGAGGAATATGAACTCGTCCGCCGTTTAGGGTACCGGGTACCCTTCTGTATTCTGATTTTGGCTGGGGTGCATATCTGTAGTACCCGGGTCGACAGCGACCCCTTCAGATTTACTCGGCACCCTGTACATGGCACGATTGAGTAGTGTGCAATGATTAAAATATTCTCCCTCAAGTGATTGAAGAAAAAAACCAATTATTCATATTGATTTTTACACTGCAATACACCCAATGTTCACCAGGAGCCGTTGACATTCAATGTTTACAGTGGCAGAAATGGCTGCCTAATCATCCTCTTATCGGGAGAATGGAGGCTGATTCTTCCTCTATAGAATATTGTGAAGATGGAACACTCGCTGATGTTCTTGGGCATAAATTGTTGTCCCTAGCAACAATTCATGTAAACAAAATTTAATGTCAACACTAAACACTTTCCCTCATCTCAACAATGAAGCCAAATATTGATCCTATTACAAACTACAGTAAACTACGGTTATAACGAACACGCTTATAACGAACTGACGGATATAACGAACTTACTTTGTGGTCCCGACTACTTGCTGTAGTCATGCTGTATATGTACTTATAACGAACTACGGTTATAACGAGCTAAAATTAGTGGTCCCTTTGAGTTCGTTAAAACCGTAGTTTACTGTATTTACATAGCCGCAACAAGGACTCTGTGAACGGGTTGTTACAAGCATCAGATTCATTTATGCTTAACTCTTTAAATAATGTTTAAAATAAACTCGATAATCCTTCAAAATACCATAAACGATATAGGTCACACCAAGCCATTGAATTTTCACTGCTTACGTTCACAAAATTTCAAATTGTTTACAGTAGACGACCGAGAGATTGATTTGATTACATTGTCGCTATCTATGTCAGATATATATGGGACCGCCTCCGTGGTCTAGTGGTAGAGCGTCCGCCCGGAGAGCGGATGGTCCGGGGTTCGATCCCCGGCCGCGTCACACCAAAAGACGTTAAAGGATGGTACTTGTTGTTACCCTGTCTGGCGCATTAAGGGGTTAAAGCAAGGACTGGTCGGCTCGGAGTCAGTATACTGTGTCTGAGTGGGGTATTCATGTTAAACTACGGCATGGTATCTCAGTGGGCTAGCACACACACACACACGTGCATGCACGTCGCTATATAAGTGCAATAATCTTGGACGCGACGTTAAACCCAATTTCACCTCACCTCACCAGATATATATGGGATCCTGGAATGGATTTTATCCTATTTGTCCGTTGTCGCTTTAACGGAACTAAGCATACATTAACATTTTTAAACACCACGACAACGTGTCGCCTAATTAAAGGATACGCACCTTGATTCATAGGATACATAGATTACAGATGTGGAGATCAGTAGCCGTTGATCCTGTCCCCGTCGCTCCTGTCTGTGTCGTTATTCCGGGACTTTCTTCCGGAGAGTGACGACATGTACCGATCTATAGCATCGGGGCCCATTCGGCATATCTCGATGGGAGGGTGGATGAGCGGGTTCCCATCCAGAGCGGACGAAGTGTATCGGAACCCCCAGTCCAGTTTCAGCAGCTTACCAAAGTCTCTCGGCAGTTGCCGGATTCTGTTGTTGCCGATCCAGAGACACCGTAGCTGCGTGAGCGTGCAGATGATGTCGGGCAGCTTTGTGAGGTCGTTGATGAAGAGGAGGAGAGTTTCCAGCTGCTTCATGTCTCGGATCTCCTCCGGCAGAGAGCTGATGTGGTTGTCACTGATGTCCAAAAACTCGAGATTCTCTAGTTTACACAGCTGCAGCGGGAATTCCTTGAAGTCGTTGTTGGCCATGTGAAGACTCTGGAGGTTCTTCAGGTTGCAGAAGTTGCTGGGGAGGGAGGAGAAGTGGTTGTTGCTGAGGGCAATCCTCTCCAGCTGCTGCAGCAGAGCGATCTCGGGGGGCAAGTCCTTCAGTTCGTTTGTGTCCAGCATCAGGACCTTCAGGTTGACCAGTCTCCCTATAGTGGGTGGACATGCCGGGAGCTTGTAGTCCAGACACGCCTCTCGCTCCGGACTCAGGTCAAGGACCTCCAGCTCCAGAAGATGGAACACAGAGTCGGATATATTAGCCAAGTCCTTCCCCCGCACTTTTAGTTTCTTCCACCCATAGTACAACGGGTCCTCCGTCTCAATTCGCATACGATAACTTTTCACCGACATGTTTACACTATCCCAGCTCTCACCTGTAAACACCACAGCTTTGTTCAACCTCAGCAGATATCGTTCATGAATTAGAAATATTTGAAGAGAATATTATCTGTCGATAGGAGACACGCACAGATCCATGATGGCTGAAGGTGGCAGCAGGGACGGCGTTGTACGTGGGATGTGGGACGTCGTCGACTTCCTTGTCCTCCGTTGCCTGGAAGTGTATGCAGATATTGTACTGACCTATCAATAGGACCGTGTCATCAAGTCACGGGCTACCCAATGCAACAAGATCATCTGTTATATTTAATCGGGTTGTTCTTCTAAATGTACATAGCAACTTTCCCATGAATCCAATATGTGCATCGATCTGTGTTATAAATAACGCCATCATTCATGCGTGTCAGGGTTAATTATTTAATACCGCTGGCGCAATGTTGCCAGACAGGAAGCACCGGAAGAAGACATAAATACGGGGACACTGCACCAGTTGCCATGGGGATGGGCCACGTGACCGCATTGCCCAGTGACACTTACACTGACGCTAGGGGGACTATATGGTTAACATATAGCTTGAAAGTCGATACTGAATACAATACGGGGTTAACATATTGATGGACAGGCGATGTTGAATACACAACATAGTTAACATATAGATGGGCTGGCGATATTGAATAAAATATAGGGTTAACATATTGATGGGTATGACGTACTGAATACAATATGGCTACTATATATACGGACAGGCGATACTGAATACCTTATAGGGTTAACACATAGATGGCCAGTCGATACGGATTAAAATATAGTTTTATCATATACATGGCAAGACGATACTGAATACAATACAAGGTTAACATATAGATGGGCAGAATATACTGAATACAACATATGGTTAAACAAGATGGGCAGTCTACACGGAATACAATATAGGGGTAACAGAGTACAGAGTTTATTTGACACTAATATTGAACATTTAGGAGAGCAGCATTTACCGAATACAGGTGGGATGTTCACATAGACTGAATACAATATTATCTGGTCAACATATATATGAGCAGAAGGAATGAATATAATATAGGTGAGCTGAGGTGAAATTGGGTTTAACGTCGCGTCCAAGATTATTGCACTTATATAGCGACGTGCATGCACGTGTGTGTGTGTGTGTGTGTGTGTGTGTGTGTGGCTGCTTGTGCTAGTCCGGACTGATGCCGATTTATAGTGCTCGCTCACTAAGATACCATGCCGCAGTTTAACATGAATACCCCACTCAGACACAGTATACTGACTCCGAGCTGACCAGTCCTTGTTTTAGCCCCTTAATGCCGAGCGCCAGACAGGGTAACAACAAGTACCATCTTTTAACGTCTTTTCGTATGACGCGGTCGGGGATCGAACCCCGGACCTTCCGCTCTCCGGGCGGACGCTCTACCACTAGACCACGGAGGCGGTCGAATATAATATAGAGTTGACATATCGCTGGACAGTAGGTATCTAATATAAGTGTTTATATGTACGTCTTACTGTGTCTGATAAAGCAAATATTGGCTGGGCATTGTACTTCAAACACTCGTGTTATTACACATGATGTTAGATGTTTTATATGCGCATATGTCACATGAATGTACAGTTTCTATCTTTGTAATAAATGTTTACAAATACATTAGAAGTGATCAGTAGTGTTGACATACAGATTGGGCACAGACACTAATTACAATTCGGGGCTTACATACAGGTTGTAGTAGGCCTTGGCAACCAGACCCGTGAATATTCCGGGGTAGAATAGGTCTTCAGCAACCCATGCTTGCCGTAAAAGCTGACTGTGCTTGTCGTAAAAGGCGACTAACGGGATCGAGGGGTCAGGCTCGTTGACTTGGTTGATGCATGTCATCGATCCCAATTGCGTGGATCGATGCTCATATCAATCACTGGATTGTCTGGTACAGACTCGATTATTTACAGACCGCCGTCATATAGCTGGAATATTGCTGAGTGCGGCTTTAAACAACAAACCAACCAACCAACTAATCTTGGCTACCAGATAAGGTATACTTACGGGTGTTCAGCGACAGGGTTATTCCCTGTTTAATGTGCAGGCCACAAGCAGGTGTGCATGATATTCTCCAGGGAGATAAACACAGTTACCAGATCTGCTGTTATTGTTTGCGAGATCAAGAATCTTCTATGTATGTAAACAACAACGGAATCAATAGAATCAATAGCGAGACGTAGGCATCCTCCGGGCACAGCATCCACCTGGTAATAAACGGGTTGGCCCTCAGTTTGGGTGGAGTACCCGCCTATTGGACAAAACCCTAACCTAGCAGTGCAGGGTATTACCAGGGTATTACTAGGGTATTACTAGCCATAAACCCCACAGTAATTACCGAGAACCTGACGTGTAAGCCCGTAACGTACCTATACCCCGGTCGTCTGATATCGATCAAGTCAACTCTCGCTTAACATGGCCATGTGTGATTAATGAGTCTAACACATTGTCGTCGTACTCACCAGATCTTAAAATCCCCGACGAGAGGCCGAGAGAATGTGTTACAAGTATCCTGTTGATGTAGCTGGGTTGGAACCCCTGAGTTGGTTGAAACAGTAGCCCTCGTCGTCCAGCTCGAGACAGTGAAGTCGCTCCCGGCAACCGTCGTCTCAACACGCTCACAACGGAAGGGGAGAGTATGAGAGTCGATACGTCGAGCAAACACTCTCAAGACCACCGTCAATGTCTGATTGACGGGCCGATACGTAAATCTCTACTCTATTCATTCAACAAAGCAAACAGTTGAATGGCCACGATCCTTGATAAGTAGTAAGTAATTTATTCACGTGGCGTTGAGGGGAAGAGTTGGCACCGACATTCATAGGGTCGTCTCTCCCATTTCATACCCGCGTATGAATTTAATACGATAATTGCTGGCAGTGTGTCGGAGTCATGTCTCAGCCGTAACACGAGCCTTCGTTTAACCATACCTGCTCAGTAAGAAGGCGCTACGTTGGGAGTGACGAGTAGACATGTTTGTAATGTTATACACAACAAGGGGATTACACACACGTGTCGTCATAAGACCTTAGACAATGCTATTTGGTTAACTGGATGAAAGTTGGAGATCTTGTGGCGCGGGGACAAGTCTTTACATGACACTGAATCGATAGTCAATTCTCCTGGCTCGGTGAGTGAGTTGGTGTGGGCTACCCCCAGCAGCGTCACATGAAATCGGTGTCGCAGGGCGGTCGGGTAGCCTAGTGGTTAAAGCGTTCACTCGTTACTTCGAAGACCCGGGTTCGAATCCCCACATGGATACAAAGTGTGAAGCCCATTTCTGGTGTACCCCGCTGTAATATTGCTGGAATATAGCTAAAAGCAGCGTAAAACCATACTCAGTCACTCTACACGAAGATCTGCGAGGGAAGTACCATCAACAGGTCGCACACACTGCACCACGTGGGGAACGAAGCTCGGTCTCTGGCGGAAGGTCTCGGTTCCGCTGTTATTGTTTCGCGGGGCTTCTCTTGTGTTAGAAGCAGCCATTGATCGGACACTAATTTCATTTTTAACTGCATTTATACAAGTGGGACCAACGCCCGTGATTTTTACGCAACAACTATAGAAAATAGTTGTAACGTGTCATTAGTCCAATATAACTTCAGAAATTCCAAGGTCCCGTTTCCCAAAGCGCAAAGGTGATCGCAACTTTTATACTTTAATACAGTTTTACGGCAGCCGTAACGCTAAGGTGATTGCAACTTCTATACCTTAACACAGGCTAACAGCATTCGAAACGATATTGTGATCGCAACTCCCATACTTTAACAAAGACTTACGCATTCGTAGCGCTAAGGTGATCGCAACTTCTATACTTTAACAAAGACTTACGTCAGTCGTAGCGCTGAGGTGATCATAACTCCTATACTTTAACACAGACTTACGGCAGTCGTAGCGCAAAGGTGATCGCAACTCATGTACTTTAACACAGACTTACGGCGTGTAGTGGTGTTGTGTGAGTTGCGTGGTGTGTTGCAGTGTGGTGTGGTGTGGTGTGGTGTGTTGCGGTGCGGTGCGGTGCGGTGCGGTGCGGTGCGGTGCGGTAAGCGCTGGTGGGTTTTGGGAAGATGAGTTGAGGTCATTTAGTGGTTCTGGCAGAAAGTACCCCTTTCACACAAAACTGTTCTCACAGCTCTTGCAATCCAACCCAGACGGTGTCAACTTAGTGGGACGATCGTTATCATATCAGCTTGTGTTCAATGCATATATAAAACACCCATGCTTGGCCCCATGTTATTGTGCATGTTGACCCGGCAATGGTGTTGACTGTCTCGGGGCTCGCGGCTATAGGAATCCAACTGAGCGCACTGTGTTGTTTACCCCCAGTTGTGCAGTGTACACATACCGGTTGTAACATGATGACCTTAAAATCGGAAAATATAGAGTTATCGATTTCCGAAATATTCATGATTGTCGATCCAAAGAGCGCCGATTGAAAGTGTACCATGACATCGGTTGCCACAATGATCTGATTCCGGTCTCCTACACAGATTAGGTAATACAAGAAATGGCTCTAATAATTTCAGGGCATCTCAAATTAATTAAATCAATTGGAAGAATCTTGAAAAAGGTCATCATGTCCCGAGATGGCAGTCGTCTCAGGCGCCGCAATTCACTGTGCAGAGTTGCGTCCCTTTGGCACCCCAGAAACCTTTGATTGTTTGTTCGAATTCTGGTTCGCCCCGATTTTGTTTCCAGGTTTGTCAGCACCGTATTCGTGTTCGTAGGTTTCGCCAAAGTGGTAAACGTCTGATACCTGCCTCATTTCAGGCTTTCCTCCCACATTATACGGACACGCCATGATATAACCGGTTTACTGTTTTAAAATAACTCACTCCGAATTGGCAGTAAACGTGACGTCATGACAACTGTACTTACACCTTGGCCTGTTGGATGGGGACAAACTAAACAGAGAAATGTCGTACGTCGGCGCAGAACACGTAGTTTATTTTCCTATAATAGAATTTCTGCAATATGGGACATCACAGCACTCTGGGAAGGGACCGTTCGGGTCTTTCTTCAGGTTGAACGCGCAGCTTGGGATGGGGTAATCCGGGCACCTGCAGCAACAACGTCAAATAACGTGACGTAATATGACGTGTTTGATGAAGAAAGAACATGAAACAATTCAAAACAACTTAATAGTCACGAAAATGCAGGTTATATTTCAGCACTTAATAATTTGACTGACGACTACATTTAGACCATCTGTAACATTCCAGGCTCACAATGACCACACTTTGGTGGAACACGGCCCAAATACGTTGTAAGTCATCCAGTAGCCTCCAGTGACATATCGGGGGCACGGGTGGCCCAGTCGTCTAAGGCGCCGCGATTCGCTGTGCAGAGTTGCGTCCCTTGGGCACGCCAGAAACCTATGATTGTGGGTTCGAATCCCGGTTCGCCCCGATTATGTTTCTAGGTTTGTCAGCACCATACCCGTGCTCGTGGGTTTCACCGAAGTGGTAAACGTCTGAGGCCTGCATCACTTCGGGCTTTCCTCCCACATTAAGCTGACACGCCGCGATATAACTGGAATACTGTTAAAAGCGGCGTTAAACCCAACTCACTCACTCACTCCAGTGACATATCAGTTACCGTATACATGCTAATGTGACTAATTTGAGCTTGTCACACTTATGAAAGAATAGGTGTCGGCAAGACACACAATCAATCAGCCATCAGTAAAACAGCATGCAGTCATCCTCACATCCTTCGCCGTCATCTACACACCCTTCGCCGTCATCTACACACCCTTCGCCGTCATCGACACACCCTTCGCCGTCATCTACACACCCTTCGCCGTCATCTACACACCCTTCGCCGTCATCTACACACCCTTCGCCGTCATCTACACACCCCTCGCTGTCATCTACACACCCTCCGCCGTCATCTACACACCCTCCGCAAACCGTCTGCCTCACGCCAACACTCTGTCGGCCATACAAACAAACAATCGAACTGTTTCTTATCCATATCTCTGTCACTTATCCTACCATCACCACATCAGCAGTACATGTTGTCCTTTGACGTTACCCTTGTCCTTCTGACGGTAATTTTACGTCACTACATGCCGTTTTGTAACGTTACTGTCGCGCTTCTGACGAGAGTTTTTCACCACTACCACTTTTGACAATACCGTCGTTACACGTGAATATTGTACCTTTGTCCCCCTGATGGGAATATTGGAACACGACAAACCGTCTTTCTACGTATTTATCCTATCTTCTGAGTGCCGGGTATATTTCATCACGACGTAGTCGTCGTTTGACGTTAATTCCTCCTACTGGCTAGATTATTGCATCGAACGCCTCCCCGTCCGTATCATACGGAAAAAAAACATTAAAAACTATGGTACATGTTGTGAACCTGTCTGGCACTCGGAGATAATACAAGCACTGGTCGACTCGGAGTCAGTATATTGTATCTGAGTAGGGCATCCATGTTAAAACTTCGGCATGGTATCATGCAATGCGGCTGCTTGTACTGGTCCGGACTAAAGCCGATTTTCTAGTGCTAGCCCACTGAGTTACCATGCCGTAGCTTAAATAACTTGATAACCCCACTCAGACACAGTATACTGACTCCGAGCCGACCAGTCCTTGTTTTAGCCCCTTAACGCCGTGCGCCAGATAGGGTAACAACAAGTACCATCTTTTAACGTCTTTTGTTATGACGCGGCCGGGAATCGAACCCCGACCTTCCGCTCTACGGGCAGACGCTCTACCATGGATTATTGCGTCACTACATGCTGTCTTTTGAAGTTCCCGTCGTCCCCAGGAGGGGAAGCCTCACGTTTCTTTGTACTGTATTCTTTCATCGTTCTTCACGAAGCAGCCATACTTGGCACACTCTCCAGCGTTGAACCACGTGGTGCCGGAGTCCATCTCATGGCCGACGTTGTTCACGCAGTTACCTAGGTTACACAGGTGCACGTGACTGACATGTTAATGGTAACTGAATGATAACGTGGTTTATCCTATATTATACAACAGTATTCTGGTTGTATGAGAAAAGTCTTGAGGATTGTATAGTTGAAAATAACGACAGCATATTTTTAAAATTTGTAAGAACTCTTGAATAAGTGCTTTTGTCAAACGGACGAAGGAATACATTGTCTCTTTTGGCTTCTGTTTGCTTTAAAGTTTCAAGTGGCCATGTGGCCATTTTGTTGCCATTCAGATACAGTAAACTACGTTTATAACGAACACGCTTATAACGAACTGACGGATATAACGAACCTACTTTTTTGTCCCGACTATTTGCTGTCGTTATGCTGTATATATGCTTATAATGAACAACGGTTATAACGAACTAAAATTAGTGGTCCCTTTGAGTTCGTTATAACCGTAGTTTACAGTAAATATGTTCTAGTGACGTGCGACGGTCGAAGTTATTTGGTCGAATCTTATATGGTTAAGGAATCACGAAAGAATGATGTCTTTTTAGATTATACTGCCACAAAGGAAACAATATTGCCAAAGTGACACCATAATCACGCGCTGCACAAGCGCAATCTGTCACTTGACTTGTAAATGGATGAGTCGTGTAAAATTAACGAACATAATTCTTGTTATGAGAAACTAGAGACAGTGCAGCCCACATTCTTACCTTCATGGAACGTTATAGGCGCGTATATTCCTATAACACACGAGACGAGGACGGCGACGAAGAGCGGACCCATGATTCCAACAGGTGTGAAAAAAGTGAACGACGGCAGCTGCTTGACGATCGGTAATCGTCGGTAGATTCCGCTTATGTATTAAGTGGAACAGGGTTGGGGTATCTCAAGCACTGGGAGCAATACGCCGTGTATCTCACCGAGCGGATGGGGAGGAGAGGGAGGAGGAAGAGGACGGTGGTGTCGGAGGAGGTGTGGCTTGGTGTGTCATGCATGTATACTAGTACTGTGACAGTAAAAACGCAACATTAACTGCATATATTTTAGAATAATATTTTGAAATGAAACGTGGTACCAGTGGTATGTTGTCTAGCCTTAGTTGTATTGCACCAGTTGTAATAAGCGGTTGTGTGAAACAGTTTTCATCCGCTGACCCTTTAAATCAGAGTAGAAGGAAGGTATTGTGTTATCTCAACATCGTGATTAGACAATGCCGGAACGGCGGGTCGAGCCTATTTTCTTTACGTGCGTCAGAACGTATTCGAATATCATAATCTTCTTCTCATTGCTTCATATTTCACCCTATAGACTCGTGTTCCACAACATCTCATTCTCGTAGATTCACGTTCTACAACATCTCATTCTCGTAGATTCACGTTCCACAACATCTCTTTCTCGTAGATTCACGTTCCACAACATCTCATTCTCGCAGACTCACGTTCCACAACATCCCATTCTCGTAGACTCAGGCTCCGCAACATCCCATTCTCGTAGACTCACGTTCAATAACTTCCAGTTCTCGTAGACTCACGCTTCACAGTAACACTGTCTTATTTTCAGGATCTCGCACACCCTTAAATATAATTCTCGTAGACTCACGTTTCCCTGTATCGGATTCTCACGTCATTCTTCACGAAGCAGCCATATTTAGCACACTCCCCCTTGTGAAACCACATGGTGCCCGCGTCCATTTCATGGCCGACGTTGTTCGCGCAGCTTCCTGAAGCACACAGATTATATATGATTTGTTTGTTTGTTGTTTAACGCCGCACAGCAATATTCCATCTATATGGCGGCGGTCTGTAAATAATCAAGTGTGGACCGGACAATCCTGGGACGCAATTGGGATCGATGCCATGTATCAACCAAGTCAGCGAGCCTGACCACCCGATCCCTTTAGTCGCCTTTTACGACAAGCATCGTCGCCTTTTACGGCATACATGGATTGCTGAAGACCTATTCTACCCCGGATCTTCACGGGTCTAATATTGTACGAATACAGGCACGGATAGAACCTCTATCAGGGCCCACTTGCACAAAGCGATCTTAGCGCTAAGATGATCGTAACTCCCATACTTTAACATAGGTTTACAATAGTCTTAGCACTAAGATCGCTTTGTGCATGTGGGCCCAGGACTCCGTCTTGGACCTGTGACATACACTAAAAACTTACTGCGACCTTCAGTCAGTCAACAATGGGTCAAGTTGTGAGTTGGTGGCATATTTCTGATGCATGGTATTATCAGGAGGCCAAGGACATGCAGTTGTATTATAAATGTAAAAAAAAAAATATATATTTTGAAGATTATTTGTCCTCACGTGTTCTTTAAAACTTGTGTTGTGTGTAACATTCAGTATAACACAACAAAAATCATCCGAAAAAAATAACATCAAAAGCAGATCGCCAGACGAAACTCAATCAAAACCACCATATTACAGATCTTATGTTAAGATTAAAACGCGTGATGGTGATGGAGTTTCTACTGATACATATAACATACCTGAATTAAAGCTAATAGGGGCATATACGCCCAGAATCCCTGACAGCAGCAGCGCGGCACACAGGCAGTGCATGTTCCTTCTGTCGACAGTGGAAGACGGCAGGTGCCCACTGATCACAATCTCTCACCCGCTTGCTGTCCTTAAATTGGTTAAACTTGACTCCAAGTACTCACCTTGAAATTAAGGATATGCAAAAACGTCCATGACCATACCGTGAATCAGACATTGGTCGAGCACTAGAGGATTCTGTTTGATCGCGTGAAATTTAAGTTCTGTCATTGTGAAAATATTCAAGACGATAAGAAATAACATTTCGTTTTAAAAAATGAGGTAACAATTAAAGCTTGAATTCCTCTGACATTTGGAAAAACACTGACTTGCCGCGTGCGCTACTCAGCTGAACATAAAAGTGATGAAAGTCACAGGTACCCAGCCTAGTGTTGTATTGATTGAACAATTAAAGTGGGAATACCAATCCTGTAACAGTTGTATTTGGTTATAGGATTGATTTACTGCTACGTTAGATGGCATTGTTGCCGAGATCGATTCTACATCCACCATCGTGTAGCAGAGTAAGGATTCGCGTTGGACTGACATCCAGTCTATGAAATGAAAATGTTTTACAGAAACATAATCGTTAAATTATCCTAATATAGTGTAATTAAAGGAGCCTATAGACTCTGTGCAGTAAACTAGACTTGCCAACTATTACAGACTTGAATGGGCTGTATTGGATATGTTTGTATCAGGGTCTGTATGACAGACTTGCATCAGGCAACAAAGACAGAGACTCTCACCCGAGTGTCTTTTGACATCAAAATCATCAACTCTCGTCGATTAAAGTAGAAAACTCAAAGTCGAAAAACACGCGAATGAAATTGTATCCAACATCATTCTGAGTAATTTCTTGCATGAGTGAGTGAGTGAGTTGGGTTTAACGCCGCTTTTAACAATATTCCAGTTATATCGCGGCGTGTCAGCTTAATGTGGGAGGAAAGCCCCAAGAGATGCAGGTCTTAGACGTTTACCACTTCGGTGAAACCCACGAACACGGGTATGGTGCTGACAAACCTAGAAACATAATCGGGCGAACCGGGATTCGCACCCACAATCATAAGTTTCTGGCGTGCCCAAGGGACGCAACTCTGCACAGCGAATCGCGGCGCCTTAGACGACTGGGCCACCCGTGCCCCCTACTGAACTGGAGGCAGTTGATACCAAACGGTTGAAGTATATATGTAGAGGGGAATGTCCGAGTAACTCTATTCCTTAACAGTAATGTAGCAGAGGCCTAATATTTATAAGGAATGGAGAGTTACGAGGATATTCCCCTACTTAAAACACATCTCTACTTTCACATTTTAACAAAATGTTCTCTTGTGGAAAATATTTGAAAAATGAACCAGAACACTTTGCAGTCGGTATTTTTCTGTGAGTTGCCCTTGCGTGATGCACGAGGAATGCATTCTCTGCCGCTGTTGCACGTGCACCAAGCTCCGTCGCGAGCTGACATTTACAATGCATGGTACATGGCTCTTCATAATTTCGTGGGGTCCTGAAATAGTATTTTATCAATCGCTTGGACATTGTAAATACATGCTGACGGGGATTATAGGAAATATAGAGCCCAGAACTAGGATAAACATGTTTACCAGATTTGTTTTTTCTCGTCAAAGGTTTATCAAATTGCTATAAATTATAAATTATAAATTATGAAAATATTTACTAGTTAATTTCACACCATAACTTCATGTGTAGCCGTAGTTGAGGTTGACATTTACTCGTCTTCAAATCAAACGATGCGGGTTCGAAACCCGCTGGCCGACAAAAAAAATTCCGACAAAATTTGAAATTATTCTCTTGTCAAAATGTTTAAAAATTAGTTTGTTTTTTCCAAGTGCAAATTAATTGAAATGTTGGTTCAAGATAATGTCTAATTAAACAACTCTCCATTCCTGAAAAATAATGGAGCATATAAACAATAGAATGTCACAGATGTGTTCTAATTGAGAGACTTGCATGTCGCAGTCACTCAGAACAAGGAGCGTCCAGTCACGAAGCGCATGGAGCATGGTAAAAAAAAAAATTCACGTGATTCATAAGATAAAAATGAAAGTAAACATTACAGATACATACTGCAGAGTTGCACAGAGGGCATCTCAATAATAGCCCCATAAAACACATCTTCAAAACATCGAGGATTAATCGCGTCTGAATGTCGACGTTGGGTCATTCTTTAAGTGTGTTAGCTATGCAGTCATTGTGTGTCCAAGGAGTCTCTGTGGCTTATGGGAAGGCATTTCTACCTTACATCAATTTGTTTGATTGTTTGTCTGTTGTCTACGCCGCCCTCAGCAATATTCCAGCGATATGACGGCGGTCTGTATATAATCGAGTCTGGGCCAGACGATCCTGTGGTTGATATCTACGCAATTGGGACACGATGACATGCATCAACCAAGTCAGCGAGCCTGACCACTCGATCCCGTTAGTCGTCTCTTACGACAAGCATAGTCGCCTTTTACAGCAAGCATGGATTGTTGAAGACCTATTCTACCCCGGACCTTCACGGGATACCTCACTTCAGTACCAAAGTTCTTTCCCTGTTACCCTTCATGTATCGTCGGTACATGGCCTACTAGTCGTCAGTGTTACTGTTGAACTTTGTTGTATATTCCCCACACTGCACTTATACCTGACAATCTGTCAGGTCAGTAACATTACTGATAGCACGTGGCACTCGTTTTTTCTAAGTTTGGTGATAAAGTTCGTGCTATATTATTGGTCTCATAGCTAATAACATATTTCTGACCTCCATTCAAAGTCACTCAGATTATGTGTTGATTACAGGTCATATAAACATCCAACCCTCTACTTGCTGTATGCGTTTTATTTTAAAGGCGGCTCGTGGGGACTCTAAGAGTGTGTTTATAGTGAGTGAGTATGGTTTTACGCCGCTTTTATCAATATTCCAGCAATATATCACGGCGGGGGACACCAGAAATGGGCTTCACACATTGTAAGCATGACGGGAATCGAACCCGGGTCTTCAGCGTGACGTGCGAAACTTTATAGAACTATTCCATGACACCTTGACGGACAATCTACAACGCGAAACAAACTGAAGGTGTCGTTATATCGGCACGAGTTATTTGCCCTTGTTTAACGAGGCGGGGAAGATAACGGCACAATGCCAAAACAGCATCCAGCTTAAACAGTAACATATGTCGAGAACGGAATTAGATTTTGTTTGTTTATTGTATAACACCGCACTCAGCAATATTCCAGCTATATGATCGGAGAATGGAATTGGAGCTTGGCTAAGACAAAATTGTTGCGTTCGGCTAAAACCTTACGACATAATTAGATTTTATATTGTGTGTTATTTAACTAAACTTATGATCAGTTTGATAAAGACAACAGAACAGCAGGATAATCAAGAGATATTTTTGATAAAAACAATTACCTTACCGGTGTTTAGAGCAACGACGATTCATGAAACCCGACAATGATCTTTTACTTTTAAACAGTAACTAGGGTAATGATAATTTATCAAATCTAGTAGATCAGAAAGAATTTCCAAATTGGAAAAATAAGCATGACAAAAGTTGTCGAAAATTGTAATGATAGACATCAGAAGCGTCAAATACCTTGTATTTTGATTTGTTGGAACCGCAGCAGCATGAAATAAAATGTGAGAAAAGGGTAAATATTTAAATTTATATTCGTTTTAGGGAAGCGGTTTACCCATTTTATTAAGTGGGAATGTCTTTGACCTTAACTGATTGTGTTAGGAATGGAGGTGAAGACAAAGCAGATAACATCACTGGCTGCCTCCGGGGGCTTCTGTATATGTTGCAGTGTGTTCAAAAGTTCTAAAACTGCAGAATGTTGTAGTCATTTAACCCCTTCAATGGGACAAATATCATACCTTTCTATTTTTCAAACTATATGAATAAAGACTTACACAATTAAGAGTGAGTTGGGTTTAACGCTGCTTTAAACAGTATTCCAGTTACATCGCGGCGTGTCAGCTTAATGTGGGAGGACAGCCCGAAGTAGTGCAAGTCTCTGACGTTTACCACTACGGTGAAACCCACGAGCACGGGTATGGTGCTGACAATCCTAGAAACGTAATCGAGGCGAACCGGGATTCGAACCCACGATCATAGGTTTCTGACGTGCCCACCGAATCGCGGCGCCTTAGGCGACGTGGCCACCCGTGCCCCTACACAATTAAGACATACGTGTTGATATGTTCTCCAAACTTAACAATATTTGCAACAGCAGACGCTATATAATGTCATTTAATCATCTGCTCTATCGAGTCCGTTTATTCAAATAAGATACATACGAAATGAACCATTTAAAAGTATTTCCTTGAAAACCGGTGGATTAGTTTCTGTGATTTGAGATAAATCGGCTGCAACACCTTCAATTAACACCAGACACCACTCAAGATTTCACTGAAGCGGTGCCGTTTTAACCACATGCGTATAGTGCCATTTTCTCAAGGTAATGTTTCCGCCAGAACACGACCAATGGGTGATCATTATTTGGATCAGTTAATTTGTTTGTTTTTGATCTTACAAACTTTTCAAGTCACTCAGCTTTAACCCAGTTGGGATTCAAAAAGTCTACTATATACTTTAAAGAAAACTGCATTCTATTATTCAAGAAGAATGCCAATTTCAAACCAGCTATATGTACCCCAATGACTTCCCCCCAGTTTACCGGAAGTTGATAACGCGCCACAGCACAGCAAGGCATGGTCTGAATTTTCAGAAATTATCCGTAAATGGCAAACAACAGAGTATTGGTATGTATGAAATAGTGTTGTGTTTCTTTCGATGCACATACACAAGATGAAGGATACAGAACAATGCATCGTCTTTTGTATACGATTCTAGATGGAAACACTGACATCGTCAGCACAAAACACCAGTCCAAAGTCACTGTCAAAAGTGTCATGACCCATGACTGTAGCACGTCGTAAACACTTGTTATGATAGCCAGACCGGACAGTGTCGCAGTTGTAATATGCAACACATTCTAAACGAACAAAGTATGTTTCACCAGACACCCTGGACGAAACTGACGTAAAACTGCATGGCAGCAATATTTGTACCAGGTCATTTACGCTGAAGAGGTCGTTGTTGGCACGGGTAGTAGCCTGCAACCTCGGGGTATCGCGATACTTGTCATGTACGCTGAACGGAACAAAATGCACTCACTAACCTTTATGATTATTCGTGTTCTCTATATCAGATGTCATTTATTTGATCTAACAATGCATATTTTACTGATAAAAGTTCATTATTTACATTAGTAGCTCCGAGTAAAAGCCGGGCCTCGCGCTCTGTTTGACAAGGGAGAGAACTCCATCGTATCGCGGTACAGAGAAAAGTTGTGTATGGAGGTCCGAATGGGACAAAAAGAGAACATAATTCTACCAACCACTTTGTATGATCATGCCAGACATCAGTGATTTGTCCAGACAAGTGCAAAGACAGCACAAGTAAAATTCTAAATGTGTTATCTGTAATAGGTATTCAATGCGTATTTACAGAAAAGTAAGTGAAAAATATTTTTAAAATCAACAACAAAATTTCAGAAATGATATTCTAAGATTGTTTATAAAAAAAAACTGGATGACAATAATTTGTCACATAATGGAAAATTGTTTAACGTTAACAATAAATATATAAAAAAACACTCCTAGTATGCCCAAAGTATGTATTTATGTTTTGGCCACCAGTGAAGAACATATTTCTAAGTTTGGCATTATGGCCCTTATGATCTCCCAATAGATTCTGGGCACAGAGCGGGAAAAAATGTGCAGACGACATAAGTTCCGTTACCTTATTAGTGGCCATGAATATGCAGATGATCTAGTTCAGGTCGTTAGAGAAAGTTAACTTGGGGAACTGCGGGTTATATTGTTGGCCATTGATAGATGGGGGTAAGGCAATATTACAAAAGATGCCAGAAATATGTATCAACGCATTAATAACTCTTTACTTACAGCAGACGGAACATTCCGAGGAAATTGAAATTGTTTACGAAGTGAGCACTTCCTGGTTACTGATTTGCATTAATAGACAGCCGCTAAGAGGCGTGTCCCGCGTGAACTACCGGAAATCACAAATGCCGCGATACGATGAATGCCATGGTACCATCGATATTTACAACAGGAATGTTTCTGTATACATTTATCAAGCAAGTGATCAACTAGATCGGGCACGCTAGCATCTATATTGAAGAAAGAATGACATCGAAATCCAGTCTTCATTGGTACTATTGCTTCTGAAATGTCCCTTGAACGTAATGCTGAATATTGATGTGTATGTTAATTCACCTTCATGCCCACGATGATTTGTTTTAAAGTAGATACATGATGTTATAATTGGTCAAAATTTAGCAGACCATTTATTGCACTGTTAATAAGACATAATATTTATGATCACCTGCCACGAAAATTAGTGTGGTAAATTCACTTCTTTTAACAGAGTTATGGCCCTTGATGGATGACAAAGTAGACACAATGTTATAGATAATAACTTCTTTAATTACTGTAAAGGCAACGTTTTGGTATAGGTCCTTATACTGTTGTCAAGCAAGACTGAATTCGTTGCCTTTACAGTAAATAAAGAAGTTGTTATCCCTAAATTGTGTCTACTTTGTTATGACCCTTGCTCTGTGCTTTTCAACTTAGTGCATATAGTGTGCAATGAGGACAAGTTTTCTCAGAAACTACTGAAGTTAGCTTATCACTGAGATACATATCAAGACTGAGTTATTTTTACCAGAGAAGGGGCCTTTTAGTGTGTATTAATTTCACATTTAGTCATTTTATTCTAATGACATATAACAGTGTTTACACTGTATAAAGCTGTCCAAAAGCCAATGTCTTAAAAGGCTTTATAGACTCTTTTTTTTATAGTTTATATTCACTACAGTACTATTGCTGACTATATGAACAAACATAATACTGATGTGCCCCATGCCAGTGTATTAGTGTTAATGCTGTTTTCTTGTTTTTTTCTGAATCCCTTTTCATTCTATATATGCTTCTAAAGCCAACTGACATTTTAAGTTGAATGCATATTTTACTTTCAGCAATGGGCAACGTTTGCTCGCACATGGTGGATATATGATGCTAACTGCCAGTGCCCCCTCAAGTCAGCCAAAGTCCTGGTGCCCCATCTCCAGGGGAAGCACAAGCCGATATATCACCCACTGAGTAAGACCCCATTGTGCTTTATTGTATTTGGACGCTTGAACTGCTTGTTTGTCATGTGATACAAAATCCTACCTCTGAACCTGAAGAGTACTTGAATTTCTAAATATAGCACAGGGTGTGTATGAGTTCACTGACATCTTTGCGAACCCGAGATCAGATTGAACATGACCTGTGAAGATCCGAGGTAGAATAGGTCTTCAGCAACCCATGCTTGCTGTAGAAGGCGACTATGCTTGTCGTAAAAGGCAACTAACGGGATCGGGTGGTCAGGCTCGCTGACTTGGTTGATGCATGTCATCGATCCCAATTGCGTGGATCGATGTTCATGATGTAAATCACTGGATTGTCTGGTCCAGACTCAATTATTTACAGACCGCCGTCATATACCTGGAATATTGCTGAGTGCGGCGTAAATCAACAAACCAAAACCAAACCACATTGAACATGTCAGGAGCTTCAGTGAAGTCATCTTCCTGAGTCAAGGGAGTTACCTGACTTTAAGTCCAGTTTCCACCCCTGCTGAAGTAGGCTGGAATTATGTCTCTAGGTTGTGTCTACGCTGGGTCACATCTGTGACATGTAGAGGTAGATTCTGGATATGTTACACTTTTAAATAAAGGTGGAAGTCTTAGCCTTGATCATGTTGATACAATGTAAGGGTATTTCTGTGTTACAGTGATATGCCATGCTGCTTACTTATAATCTGTCACCAGCTAGTGAGAACATGTTTCTGTCTCCAGGTGATATCGGTGACCATGTTGTTGTCATTAACACAAAGCACATCGCCATGAAGGGAGACTACTGGAGGAAGTGGCGGTATCATCATCACACAGGGTAGGTTGCCATGGTTACCATCAACACATTTACTAGGTTGCTGTTGTTACCATGACAACATGGGATAGGTTGCCATGGCTGCTATCATATCAATGACATGTTGCCATGACTACCATCACAACATTGGGTACGTTACCATGACTACATCACACATGCTTGTTGCCATGGTTTCCATCACTACACGTTTGGTTATTTTATATTATTCATATGAATAGATAACTTCAGTAGGTTGTGATAAGGGCCATGCAATTCTCACTGTCTGTGATTTTTACAGCTAAAAGATTTACTTTGGTTTTTGTTTCCAAGAGGTAATAAGCACGATAAGAAGATGGGCAATTCTCTATATCGCTTCATCCCATAGCCCATGTTTTAAACTGTATTAATGATATTGTTAAAATATGTTTCATCATTTGTTTTTAAATATAGTATGCTCCAATATGTTTCATTAATTGCTTTTGAATATGACATTGCATAAATAACTAAATTGTGTATATATTAGCTTGGTCTCGTCGCTATATGGCTGAAATAATGCCGATGCGACGTTAAATTTTAACTCGCTCACTCACTCATCCCATAATTTAATGTATCAAATGTCAACACTCATACTTGCATGGCAAAAGGGTTTGAGTTGTGATAATTTATGTCGAGTCCTTTTCATGTGAATAAGCTATGTTGAAAGAAACCCAAGAAGACTCCATCAAGTCAATACTTGCAATGCCAGTGCACACTTCTTGTGACTATGGTCATGCTAAAAGCTGACAGTACTCTTCTGTAACTATGGTAACGCAAGCTACACCTGACAGTACTCATTTCTTGTAACTATGGTAACGTTATACCCTACAGTACTCATCACTAGTATCGCTGGTAGTGACTTTGTGGATGGGGGCACTGATTGTGTTTGTGATTGTTTCATCTCCTCGTCTCTGTGTTGCAGGCATGGGGGCGGCTACACTGCCACGTCAGCATGGAGACTACACCAGCTGGATGCCACAAAGGTAACATGCTGTGCCCTTCACACATGGGGCTGACCCCTTTCACCAAAGTCACCCTGAATCATAAACTCTTTACTTTTCTTAATATTTGCTACCATAACATTGAAGAAACATTGCATTGATATCATAGTCTCCACCCCTCAAACAGACACGTTACAATTTCAAAGCCAGTTAACCATGACACTCTTCGTACTTGAGTGAGTGAGTAAGGTTTTACGCCGCTTTTAGCAATATTCCAGCAATATCAGGGCGGGGGACACCAGAAATGGGCTTCACACATTGTACCCATGTCGGGAATTTAACCAGGTCTTCGGCGTGACGAGCGAACGCTTTAACCACTAGGCTACCTGACCATCCCTCTTCTTACTTGATCATGTGTTGATGGCTAAACATTTAACTCCCTAATACTTTCAGCCTTCTTTTGTGTTACTAGTGTCAACAGCCGGGGTCCGGAAAATTTAAAATCCCAATCGGACATTTGCATTTAGGCCACGCCCCCTTCAAATAGCGTATTTTAGTACGACTTTTCACACACATTACAAGTTGTTACGTATTCATAATATGATGAATTATGAATTGTTTCAATTTAAATTGTTTAATTCACCGGACAATTAATAAAAAATAATATCATTTTAGATATACATGGAAAACATACGTTTGTTTCTGTTATAATAATGATCTGTTAACGTAGTGAACGGTCTAATTAATATTCATGAGTTATATTCATGAGTCTGCTCAAGTGTACGCGTTGTAACATTTGGATCGAGACTATTATCCCATATTTGGTTATCACGTGACCTCACGGGAAAAGATTTTTTTAAACTAAAGATTATTTAAAAACAAGACAGATAATATAATCACAAATACTAAAATATCGTTGATAGCAATAGTTATTTGAATACTATTTTCATCAGTACTTATTTATTGACCATAAAAATATTTGATATCGATCGTCACAGAAAGCAAAATGGCGGTCAATCAAGATTCAATATACGACTAGCTACTGAAAACAATAAAATCTGCAAATCCTCATTGTATGTCAACCAAGTGAAAGTCGTTAGCCACGACTTACAAAATGATCGTCCAGACTTTGAGGGTTTGGCAGATCCGCTCGACTGATCTGCATCGGTCGACTGGCTGTCGTCACGCTTTCGCTTCTTGTCTGAGGTTACGTATCGTAGCATTGTGAGGATAATGAGGTACATCGATGATGCAAGGTATTTATGTACAGTTGTAAACACCTTTCACTCAAATTAACAAGATGTTCGCAGTAATTAATCCTCGATTAATCGGTGTCAACTCAGTTTATTGCCTATTAGAGTGATTGACCGATTGGACTTTCATGTAGGTACGATGTATTTACAGCAATCAAAACAAACAAAGCTTGTCAGTGTAGATAATCTTTATTGTGTTACAACTGCAGACAGAAACTGCTCAGTCCTAACTGTTGATCATGTCCGGTCAAAATTTAAGAATGTCCGGACAATACTTTTTAAAATGTCCGGACAGAAAAATTTAAATGTCCGGTAAGCAATATTTTAAACCGGACATTTGAGATTCCCAATCGGACATGTCCGGCGCATATGACGGTTTCCGGACCCCTGGTCAACAGTACCATGAGTACAGGGTTTTCCTCTTTTGGGTGAAGTATACAAGAAATGAATCTTCTCTACATTTGATAAGTTGAAGGGGTTACTTCATTTAATATATTAACCTACTTTGGTGTCATTTTGTTTTGCTGGTATTATTCAAAGGGCCTCATCCTCAATTCCATAAACTAAACAATCAACAAGCCATCCTGTGTACATGTTGTGTCATCAGTTGTCAGACTGCTGGTTGTAATATTGCAGGTCGTGTACAAAGCTGTGTACAGCCGTCTCCCCGGCAACCTGCTCAGACACACCCTGATGAGGAGACTGCATCTTTTTGAAGAGGAGGTAGGAGAGTTCAGACCTGTAGCACGATTCATAGAGACTTGAAAAGGTCTTGACTAGATGACTCAACATAAGAAGGACTTGTATGTAACAGTACATTGAAAAGGTCTTGACTAGATGACTCAACATAAGAATGACTTGTATGTAACAGTACATTGAAAAGGCCTTGACTGTAGATGCCTCAACATAAGAATGACTTGTATGTAACAGTACATTGAAAAGGTCTTGACTAGATGCCTCAACATAAGAATGACTTGTATGTAACAGTACATTGAAAAGGTCTTGATTAGATGACTCAACATAAGAATGACTTGTATGTAACAGTACATTGAAAAGGTCTTCACTGTAGATGCCTCAACATAAGAATGACTTGTATGTAACAGTACATTGAAAAGGTCTTGACTAGATGACTCAACATAAGAATGACTTGTATGTAACAGTACATTGAAAAGGCCTTGACTGTAGATGCCTCAACATAAGAATGACTTGTATGTAACAGTACATTGAAAAGGCCTTGACTAGATGCCTCAACATAAGAATGACTTGTATGTAACAGTACATTGAAAAGGTCTTGATTAGATGACTCAACATAAGAATGACTTGTATGTAACAGTACATTGAAAAGGTCTTGACTAGATGCCTCAACATAAGAATGACTTGTATGTAACAGTACATTGAAAAGGTCTTGATTAGATGACTCAACATAAGAATGACTTGTATGTAACAGTACATTGAAAAAGGCCTTGACTCAGATGTCTCAACATAAGAAGGCCTTGAATGTAACAGTACATTGAAAAAGGCCTTGACTGTAGATGCCTCAACATAAGAATGACTTGTATGTAACAGTACATTGAAAAGGCCTTGACTGTAGATGCCTCAACATAAGAAGGACTTGTATGTAACAGTACATTGAAAAAGACCTTGACTAGATGCCTCAACATAAGAAGGACTTGTATGTAACAGTACATTGAAAAAGACCTTGACTAGATGCCTCAACATAAGGCCTTGTATGTAACAGTACATTGAAAAGGCCTTGACTGTAAATGCCTCAACGTAAGACGGCCTTGTATGTCACAGTACATTGAAAAAGGCCTTGAATGTAGATGACTCAACATAAGAATGACTTGTATGTAACAGTACATTGAAAAGGCCTTGACTGTAGATGCCTCAACATAAGAAGGACTTGTATGTAACAGTACATTGAAAAAGACCTTGACTAGATGCCTCAACATAAGGCCTTGTATGTAACAGTACATTGAAAAGGCCTTGACTGTAAATGCCTCAACGTAAGACGGCCTTGTATGTCACAGTACATTGAAAAAGGCCTTGACTGTAGATGCAACATAAGAAGGCCTTGTATGTAACAGTACATTGAAAAGGCCTTGACTGGATGCATCTTCCACCGTGTTGTTTAAAAGCTATACAGGTGATCCTATTATTATTGCTTGTCCAGACTTGATTGTCTGCAGGCTGCAGTGACACAGCTGGAATGCTGCTGATGCTTTGAATTCTTGTAAATGGGTGCTAAATCTTTTAATGGAACTTCCAAATGGAGTACTATGTATGACAAACATGGACACATATTTGAGTCTGCATACAAGGGTAATACAAACTTTACATTCCTAAAAAGTCACACCTCAAATATTTCTATGTAACACTGAAAATATCCCTCTGACAATTGAGGTTGTAATCACTCTCCTGCATAGGGTCAGTTGCCAACAGTAGTGACGTTTGATGTGTGTGGTGTATCTGGTCGTATCCTCTGTTCTATACTTTCCCTTGTATTCTGTACTACTTCATGTTCTATGTTGTACCATGTTCTAAACTATATCCTGTGTCTTTTCCTCAGAATGTCCCTGAGGAGATCCTGGCAAATGTTACCGGTCAGATCCGTCAAGTGATGCCGGTGCCAAAACGATATGATGAATACACAGAGGAGGAAAGGAGAACATTCCCAAGACTGTTTGACTGGTCAGTATATGCCATCTATCACCATCGATAAAAACTGCTTTTCTGGTCAATATATAGAATGTACACCACTTGGCTGGTCAGTGTATAGCACATACACCACTTGGCTGGTCAGTGTATAGCACATACACCACTTGGCTGGTCAGTGTATAGCACATACACCACTTGGCTGGTCAGGGTATATGGTCTGTGTATAGCACATGCACCACTTGGCTGGTCAGTGTATAGCACATACACCACTTGGCTGGTCAGGGTATATGGTCTGTGTATAGCACATGCACCACTTGGCTGGTCAGTGTATAGCACACACACCACTTGGCTGGTCTGTGTATAGCACACACACCACTTGGCTGGTCAGTGTATAGCACATACACCACTTGGCTGGTCTGTGTATAGCACATACACCACTTGGCTGGTCAGTGTATAGCACACACACCACCTGGCTGGTCAGTGTATAGCACATACACCACTTGGCTGGTCAGTGTATAGCACATACACCACCTGGCTGGTCAGTGTATAGCACATACACCACTTGGCTGGTCAGTGTATAGCACATACACCACTTGGCTGGTCAGTGTATAGCACACACACCACTTGGCTGGTCAGTGTATAGCACACACACCACTTGGCTGGTCAGTGTATAGCACACACACCACCTGGCTGGTCAGTGTATAGCACATACGCCACTTGGCTGGTCAGTGTATAGCACATACACCACCTGGCTGGTCAGTGTATAGCACATACGCCACTTGGCTGGTCAGTGTATAGCACACACACCACTTGGCTGGTCAGTGTATAGCACATACACCACTTGGCTGGTCAGTGTATAGCACATACGCCACTTGACTGGTCAGTGTATAGCACATCCGCCACCTGGCTGGTCAGTGTATAGCACATACGCCACTTGACTGGTCAGTGTATAGCACATCCGCCACTTGACTGGTCAGTGTATAGCACATACACCACTTGGCTGGTCAGTGTATAGCACATCCACCACTTGGCTGGTCAGTGTATAGCACATACGCCACTTGACTGGTCAGTGTATAGCACATCCACCACTTGGCTGGTCAGTGTATAGCACATCCGCCACTTGACTGGTCAGTGTATAGCACATACACCACTTGGCTGGTCAGTGTATAGCACATACACCACTTGGCTGGTCAGTGTATAGCACATACACTACTTGGCTGGTCAGTGAGGGTGCTTGGTATTACTGGTATATTGAGGTTCGCTCTTTCCACAATATGTATCACATTATCATTTTTTAATGCTCAGTTTATCGGGTGATATGGAATTTTTTATCATGTGTTTAATGTTTTTACACTAGCCAAATAGCCGGTGTGTGCATCTGTGCATATTTATTGAACCTGTTGAATGAGTATTCATTATTTCAATGAAAAAGATTTTTCGAGGATTATGTTTTCTCCAAATCTACCGATGATTCAGTTAAAATTTACACAATGATATAACTTCAAGAATTTTGATGCAGTGATCGGAAGAATTGTATCTGAAACAATGATTTTATCAGGAATAATATATTTCAGTAGCATGTTATTTTAGTTGCATCTTTTATTATGTATATTTGAAATAAGAATAACCATAAGCTTTGCACTTTGGTACAGCTGATCGCTGTTACTGGATATTTCTTACGATGGAACAATTTGACCAGTCACGGCTGAGGGGCCCACATTTGCAATCTTGAAAACTTTATGGTGACATATTATAGTCAAGCGACAACAAATATGACTTTAACCCAGTCAAAGTATGGCATTTATGATATATGTATCCATTCTCTATCAACTAAAGATGGGTTCAAGGCGTCAATAGCGGTAATCAGTTGTGTGATCTACCAATTACTTCACACATGATTTCCCCAACAATATCGAATGAAATTTGAATAAAATAGATTACAAACATAAGTCCAGATATACAATGAACACTTTTTAATAGCCAGACAGAGTAATTACAAGATTACTTGCTTACTTTAGTACAGACTTATTGACATGGTATTTTTGGTGTTAGCTCACGGTAATGTCTTTGCATTGGGGAAAAAACCCATCACAACTCATTTTATCACACCTTCATGTCAGAATGATGAGATCTGAGTGGTCCATGTGATCTTTATGGAATACTGTGTAACCTGCCTTGGACGGTAATAAATTTCTCAGCTGGCGAGGAAATCTCTTATACCCCGCCATGAGCAAGTCAGGCTGCACGTGGATTCTGGGAGGCAGAATAATTCCCTTATACCCCACTTCAAAGTAAAGAGCCCCACGCTTTTTCCGAGTCAATGGTAGTCATATGACATAGGGCAAGTTAACCTCAGCTCAATCAAGGCCCTTCTATCAATTTTGAATTTGTGTTATTTCTTTAACAATGTCGTTTTAAAACATGTTGGTAAGATAAATTCATAGCATTCTTTCTCTCCTCAAGAACTCTCACCATTGTGTGGCAGACATGCAGACATTCTGGATGCCATGACGTCATGCTGAAATAGATGACATGTCTTTCTGTGATGACTAAACCTGCCTGGTCAGCAGAATGTCGAAAAAACCAACTCGGTCAAAGTTGTTTGGATAAATGTTGATCAAACTTAAGATCTAATTAGCAAAGAAGAATGGCATGTGTGTTTTCAATTTGAGATTTATGTAAAATAGTATGAAACGTATTCATGCATTGTTTTTGCATTGAAAAGTCCAATCCGATTTAACAACTAGATGAAGCAGCCAGATTGCAGCACACACTCCTGTTGAATGCATGTCAACATCACAAGGTCAAGGAACTCACAGTTCTAGACTTTGTGATCCCACTTAATGGATGTACAGATTCAGAGTTTGTGTTTCCTGATTGCCATCTTGTTTTGCAGGCCTGAAGATCATGTACTGGACCTCGGCAAGAAGAAGAATGACCCAGTGTAGTGGGAGCTGTCATGTAGGATATAACTACAAGGAAATGTGGACACCTTGCGGCTGAAACATGGATACAGATCCCCTTGGTCCGTCTGAGTGTCTAGTGGGGTGTGGACGTATGCAGCATATATGACACATTGATTGTGACTGTGATAACCCCTCTGAAAACATGTGGACCTTGTGTGGAATCTTATATGTCATATTCATGTGCGTGTTTGTGTGTAGAAATAACTGAGAAACTGTATGTGTGTTATAGTAAATAAACCAGATGTTGACATGTTACAAGAAGCTGTGTGTGTGTTATAGGAAATAAACCAGCTGTTTACAAGGCGTCCTTGCAAGAAGCTGTATATGTGTTATAGGAAATAAAACAGCTGTTTACAAGGCGTCCTTGCAAGAAGCTGTATGTGTGTTATAGGAAATAAAACGGCTGTTTGCAAGGCGTCCTTGCAAGAAGCTGTGTGTGTGTTATAGGAAATAAACCAGATGTTGACATGTTACAAGAAGCTGTGTGTGTTATAGGAAATAAAACAATTGTTTACAAGGCATCCTTGCAAGAAGCTGTGTGTGTGTTATAGGAAATAAACCAGATGTTGACATGTTACAAGAAGCTGTGTGTGTTATAGGAAATAAAACAATTGTTTACAAGGCATCCTTGCAAGAAGCTGTGTGTGTGTTATAGGAAATAAACCAGCTGTTTACAAGGCGTCTTTGCAAGAAGCTGTATGTGTGTTATAGGAAATAAACTAGCTGTTTACGAAGCGTTCTTGCAAGAAGCTGTATGTGTGTTATAGGAAATAAAACAGCTGTTCACAAGGCGTCCTTGCTAGAAGCTGTGTTTGTGTTATAGGAAATAAAACATGTTTACAAGGCGTCCTTGCAAGAAGCTGTATGTATCTTATAGCAAATAAACCAGATGTTTCCAAGGCGTCCTTGCAAGAAGCTGTATGTATCTTATAGCAAATAAAACAGCTGTTTACAAGGCGTCCTTGCAAGAAGCTGTGTGTGTTTTATAGGAAATAAAACAGATGTTTCCAAGGCGTCTTTTTACCAGAATCATACATGGTAATGTAGCAGAATCTGTCGGTGTAGGTTAATGTTGTCCCACAGAAGTCGCCTCCTCGCTAGTAACCTGCCCTATGAGGATACTTGGTCAGAATAGATCCTCGGTACATGATCCGCAGTTGCTGCTTGTCAGACCCAACAATAATATTTGTACGTCTGGACTGATGCCGATGTTATAGTGCTAGCCCACTGAGATACTATGCCGCAGATTACCCCACTCAGACACAATATACTGACTCAGAGCCGACCAAAACTTATTTTGACCCCTTAATGCGGAGCGCTGGGCAGGGTCACAAGTACCATCTTTGAACGTCTTTTATGACGATTTGGTATGGGATTGAACCCCGGACCTTCCACTGTCTAGGCGGACGCTCTGTCACCAGACCACGGAGTTGGCCTCTGTCCAAGCAAAACACTGGACAAAATTTTGTCTTCGCGAACACTGGTCAATTTCTGACTTAGCAAACAGTTGACTGGCTGACAGTGTATAAGATGACAATCTCCCAGATGATTCAAGTTCTCCGAGCATTGGTCACTTCCGGTTCCACGTTCGGGGTTCGGAGGTTCGGAGAAAAGAAACGTTTCTGGTCATCGAACAGCTCTCCAACCATGACTGGCAACTCCTGTGTGATCAATCTCTTCAAGTCATCATGGATGGTGGCCACATCTCAAGTCATAGTGTATTGTATGCACATCTCTGGTCCGTGTATTGTACGTACATCTCCAGTCCGTGTATTGTACATCTCCAGTCCGTGTATTGTACGCACATCCCAAGTCCCTGTATTGTACGCACATCACAAGTCTGTGTGTTGAATGCACATCTCAAGTCCGTGTGTTGAATGCACATCTCTAGTTCGTGTATTGTACGTACATCTCCAGTCCGTATATTGTACGCACATCCCAAGTCACTGTATTGTACGCACATCCCAAGTCTGTGTGTTGAATGCACATCTCAAGTCCGTGTGTTGAATGCACATCTCTAGTTCGTGTATTGTACGTACATCTCCAGTCCGTATATTGTACGTACATCTCCAGTCCGTGTATTGTACGCACATCCCAAGTCCGTGTATTGTACGCACATCCCAAGTCTGTGTGTTGAATGCACATCTCAAGTCCGTGTGTTGAATGCACATCTCTAGTTCGTGTATTGTACATACATCTCAAGTCCGTGTATTGTACGTACATCTCCAGTCCGTGTATTGTACGCACATCCCAAGTCCGTGTATTGTACGCACATCCCAAGTCTGTGTGTTGAATGCACATCCCAAGTCCGTGTGTTGAATGCACATCTCAAGTCCGTGTATTGTACGCACATCCCAAGTCCGTGTATTGTACGCACATCCCAAGTCTGTGTGTTGAATGCACATCCCAAGTCCGTGTATTGTACGCACATCTCAAGTCCGTGTATTGTACGTACATCTCAAGTCCGTGTATTTTACGTACATCTCCAGTCCGTGTGTTGAATGCACATGTCAAGTCCGTGTGTTGTATGGACATCTCCAATCAGTGTATTGTACGTAAATCTCAAGTCCGTATATTGTACGTACATCTCCAGTCCAGGTGTTGAATGCACATCTCAAGTCCGTGTATTGTACGCACATTCTAAGTCCGTGTATTGTACGCACATCCCAAGTCTGTGTGTTGAATGCACATCTCAAGTCCGTGTGTTGAATGCACATCTCAAGTCCGTGTATTGTACGTACATCTCCAGTCCGTGTATTGTACGTACATCTCCAGTCCGTGTATTGTACGCACATCCCAAGTCCCTGTATTGTACGCACATCCCAAGTCTGTGTGTTGAATGCACATCTCAAGTCCGTGTGTTGAATGCACATCTCTAGTTCGTGTATTGTACGTACATCTCCAGTCCGTATATTGTACGTACATCTCCAGTCCGTGTATTGTACGCACATCCCAAGTCCGTGTATTGTACGCACATCCCAAGTCTGTGTGTTGAATGCACATCTCAAGTCCGTGTGTTGAATGCACATCTCTAGTTCGTGTATTGTACGTACATCTCAAGTCCGTGTATTGTACGTACATCTCCAGTCCGTGTATTGTACGTACATCTCCAGTCCGTATATTGTACGTACATCTCCAGTCCGTGCATTGTACGCACATCCCAAGTCCGTGTATTGTACGCACATCACAAGTCCGTGTGTTGAATGCACATCTCAAGTCCGTGTATTGTACGCACATCCCAAGTCCGTGTATTGTACGCACATCCCTAGTCCGTGTGTTGAATGCACATCTCTAGTTCGTGTATTGTACATACATCTCAAGTCCGTGTATTGTACGTACATCTCCAGTCCGTGTATTGTACGCACATCCCAAGTCCGTGTGTTGAATGCACATCTCTAGTTCGTGTATTGTACATACATCTCCAGTCCGTGTATTGTACGTACATCTCTAGTCAGTGTATTGTACGCACGTCTCAAGCCCGTGTATTGTACGCACATCTCCAGTCCGTGTGTTGAATGCACATCTCAAGTCCGTGTGTTGAATGCACATCTCAAGTCCGTGTATTGTACGCACATCCCAAGTCCGTGTATTGTACGCACATCCCAAGTCCGTGTATTGTACGTACATCTCAAGTCCGTGTATTGTACGTACATCTACAGTCCGTGTGTTGAATGCACATGTCAAGTCCGTCTGTTGTATGGACATCTCCAATCAGTGTATTGTACGTAAATCTCAAGTCCGTATATTGTACGTACATCTCCAGTCCGTGTGTTGAATGCACATCTCAAGTCTGTGTGTTGAATGCACATCTCAAGTCCGTGTATTGTACGCACATTCTAAGTCCGTGTATTGTACGCACATCCCAAGTCTGTGTGTTGAATGCACATCTCTTGTCCGTGTGTTGAATGCACATCTCAAGTCCGTGTATTGTACGTACATCTCCAGTCCGTGTGTTGAATGCACATCTCAAGTCTGTGTGTTGAATGCACATCTCAAGTCCGTGTATTGTACGCACATCCCAAGTCCGTGTATTGTACGCACATCCCAAGTCTGTGTGTTGAATGCACATCTCTTGTCCGTGTGTTGAATGCACATCTCAAGTCCGTGTATTGTACGTACATCTCCAGTCCGTGTGTTGAATGCACATCTCAAGTCTGTGTGTTGAATGCACATCTCTTGTCCGTGTGTTGAATGCACATCTCAAGTCCGTGTATTGTACGTACATCTCCAGTCCGTGTATTGTACGTACATCTCCAGTCCGTGTATTGTACGCACATCCCAAGTCCCTGTATTGTACGCACATCCCAAGTCTGTGTGTTGAATGCACATCTCAAGTCCGTGTGTTGAATGCACATCTCAAGTCCGTGTATTGTACGCATATCTCAAGTCCGTGTATTGTACGTACATCTCCAGTCCGTGTATTGTACGCACATCCCAAGTCCGTGTGTTGAATGCACATCTCTAGTCCGTGTGTTGTATGGACATCTCCAGTCCGTGTATTTTACGTACATCTCCAGTCCGTGTATTGTACGCACATCCCAAGTCCGTGTGTTGAATGCACATCTCGAGTCCGTGTGTTGTATGGACATCTCCAGTCAGTGTATTGTACGTACATCTCTAGTCAGTGTATTGTACGCACGTCTCAAGCCCGTTTATTGTACGCACATCTCCAGTCCGTGTGTTGAATGCACATCTCAAGTCCGTGTCTTGAATGCACATCTCATGTCCGTGTATTGTACGCACATCACAAGTCCGTGTGTTGTACGTACATCTCCAGTCCGTGTGTTGAATGCACATCTCAAGTCCGTGTCTTGAATGCACATCTCAAGTCCGTGTATTGTACGCACATCTCAAGTCCGTGTATTGTACGTACATCTCCAGTCCGTGTATTGTACGTACATCTCCAGTCCGTGTATTGTACGTACATCCCAAGTCCGTGTATTGTACGCACATCTCAAGTCTGTGTGTTGAATGCACATCTCAAGTCCGTGTGTTGAATGCACATCCCAAGTCCGTGTATTGTACGTACATCTCCAGTCCGTGTATTGTACGTACATCTCCAGTCCGTGTATTGTACGCACATCCCAAGTCTGTGTGTTGAATGCACATCTCTTGTCCGTGTGTTGTATGGACATCTCCAGTCCGTGTATTGTACGTACATCTCCAGTCCGTGTATTGTACGCACATCCCAAGTCCGTGTGTTGAATGCACATCTCGAGTCCGTGTGTTGTATGGACATCTCCAGTCAGTGTATTGTACGTACATCTCTAGTCAGTGTATTGTACGCACATCTCCAGTCCGTGTGTTGAATGCACATGTCAAGTCCGTGTGTTGAATGGACATCTCCAATCAGTGTATTGTACGTAAATCTCAAGTCCGTATATTGTACGTACATCTCAAGTCCGTGTGTTGAATGCACATCTCAAGTCCGTGTGTTGAATGCACATCTCAAGTCCGTGTATTGTACGCACATCCCAAGTCCGTGTGTTGAATGCACATCTCAAGTCCGTGTGTTGAATGCACATCTCAAGTCCGTGTATTGTACGCACATCCCAAGTCCGTGTATTGTACGCACATCCCAAGTCTGTGTGTTGAATGCACATCTCAAGTCCGTGTGTTGAATGCACATCTCAAGTCCGTGTATTGTACGCACATCTCAAGTCCGTGTATTGTACGTACATCTCCAGTCCGTGTATTGTACGCACATCCCAAGTCCGTGTGTTGAATGCACATCTCTAGTCCGTGTGTTGTATGGACATCTCCAGTCAGTGTATTGTACGTACATCTCTAGTCAGTGTATTGTACGCACGTCTCAAGCCCGTGTATTGTACGCACATCTCAAGTC